ACATTAGGAGTTGGCACACGGAAAGCCATTCCAGTAAGTTTCCTGTGAGAGAAGTGAGTCGGCAAAAAAATAGCACCTGGGACCCCTCTGCCAGCCCTCCACTCCCCTAGGAATATTCTGCCTCCTACTCATAACCAAGAAGGGGCACCCACCCATTAAGCTCAGGAATGACTTTTCCCACAGCCTTAGCAGCTCCAGTAGATGCTGGGATAATGTTCTGAGCGGCACCTCTGCCATCCCTCCACAGCTTCCCAGAGGGTCCATCCACTGTCTTCTGTGTGGCTGTGATGGCATGAACAGTGGTCTGAGAAAAGAGCACAGGAGTAAGAACACAGCCAATACTCTCCAGAAACAGCATCCCAGGGGACACAAGGAGTTACTGATGCTTTCCCTCTCATATGAGGGGACCTGTGGATAGGGCACCCTGAGTTCTCAGCACCAAGCTGCAGACCTACCATAAGACCCTCCACGATGCCAAAGTTGTCATGGATGACCTTGGCCAAGGGCGCCAGGCAGTTAGTAGTGCATGAAGCATTGCTGGGGTAGAGAGAAAAAGGCACATCAGCCAGAGGTGAGAGGAGGCCCCACGCAGCTGGTGAGAGCTCCAGGCCAGAAAACATCTTCCTCTCTCCTTACCTGACAATTTTCAGAGACTTGTCGTACTTCTCATGGTTGACACCCATCACAAACATGGGAGCATCAGCTGAGGGGGCAGAGATGATAACACGCTTGGCGCCACCCTTCAGGTGAGCCTGGAGAGGAAGAGGTAAGACATTAGATAACTCAAGATCCCTCCAAGCTTGCTTCTTCACCACCTCTTCTCCCTTACAGCCTCATCTTGAGCAATTCTGTACGTGGTAACGTGCCCCACAGGCAAAAGTGGTTGTATATCCCTTCTCTCATGTGCCACTGTGGCATACTTACCCCGGCCTTATCCATGGTGGTGAAGACACCGGTGGACTCCACAACATATTCAGCACCAGCATCTCCCCACTTGATGTTGCTGGGGTCACGCCTGAGGAGGGATAGAACTGTAAGAGCTGCTCCATGAGACACACACTTCCATGCTCCAGAGGGGTGAGAGGGAAAGAGATTACTTACTCCTGGAAGATGGTGATAGCATTCCCGTTAATCACAAGTTTGCCATTCTCAGCCTTGACAGTGCCCTTGAAGTGACCATGAGTAGAGTCATATTTGAACATGTAAACCTAAGAGAGAGAGAGAGGAAGGTCAGGTACCTGGGCTGCCATCCTCCTGTAACACTCGTTTTTCCTGGGAAGCTACTAGAACAGATCTAGAGAAGCCCTACTTAGAAAGGCCCAGAGGGGGCACTGCAAGGCAACTCACCATGTAGTTCAGATCAATGAAAGGATCGTTGATGGCCACCACTTGGACTTTGCCAGAAAGGACGGCAGCCCGGGTGACCAGGCGGCCGATGCGGCCAAATCTGGAGAGAGAGAAGGACACGGGTGTGAAGGCACAACAGGGAACCTACTGGGCTGAGCACGGCAGGCAGTCCTTGGCAGCCTTCCCTCGGAATCATCCGCTCCTCCCTGCCCACCAGGGCAGGAGGGAGCCCTGTAGCCTGTCCAAAGGCCAAGGCACCCTAGTTAAAGATTAAGAGCGACCCCCACCCCGGAAAGGTCAAGTGCTAAATTTACTGATGCCCCGGGGATCCAGTTACTCCTCGGCCCCACACGAGAAGGTCACATCCCCGGGACGGTCACCGACACACGATCCACCGGGCGACTTTTCGGTGGGAGGCTGCGGGGATCCCCGGGGATGCGTGGGGGGAAATTGGGGCAACCAAGCAGCGGCATCGCCTTCCGGGGTGAGTCACCCCGAATCTGCAGGGAAGTGACTCAGCAGGTACCGCTTTGCCCCGGGGGACGACGGCAGAGCGGGGACCGGTGGGGCAGAGCGGGGACCGGCAGGGCTCAAACCGCCCCCCCCCCCAATCCTCCACCGCGCCCTTGAGGCGACCTTGCCCCCCCCCATCCCCACTCCCTCCGCACCCCACTGACCCCGGCACTCACCCGTTGACTCCGACTTTCACCATCTTTGCTTCTTCGGGATGTTCCTGCGGGCAGAAACCGCCGTTGAGGGGCTGAGGGGAACCGGCCCCAACCGCCCCCCGCGGCCGCGCGCGCCCCGGGCACCGTTAGCGTCTCGCCCCTCGCTGAGGGGGCGCGAGGGGGGTGGGCGAGGGGGTACCCGCGCTCCGAGCCCGCCCCCACCCGGGCGATCATCCCCCCGCCCCGGGCCATCATCCCTCCCCTCCTCCCCCTTGCTCCCCACAGCCTGCGACAACTACCCGCCCCCATCTCCTCCTTCTCCTCCTCAGGTAATCATCCCGCACCCCCACGTCCCCATCTCCCCCCTCATGCCACCCCCGCCATTTTGCGCCGCGCCGCGCCGCCTTTGTGCCCGCGGGCCCCGGCGCCACGCGGCCCCGCTCCGCCCGGGGGCTGCCGCCGGCTGCCGCCCCCCCGCCAGTGGGCGGTGTGTGTATATGTGGGGAGGGGGAAACCTCACACGCCCACCCCCCACCGCCACTCTCTCACTCCGCGCATCTCCCGCCGCCCCCGCCCGTTACCTGCTGCCTCCAAACCGCCGAGCGCGCAGTGAAGAGGTGGCGCAGCCCCGCTCCGCCGCCCTTTATAGGCACGGAAGGGCAGGGCTGGGGCCCGCCCCGCCGCGCCGCCGCCCAATGGAAGCGCGGGGCCGGGCCGGGCTACGTGCGCTGGCGCTGCGGGTGCGGCTGCCGGACCCCCCCCGTGGCCCCCGCCCCGCCGCCCCCCGGCAACAAAGGCCCCACGCCGGGAACGGCGGGTCCGCGGGGCTCGGCACTCACCCTCCTCCCGCCCCAGGGATGGCGGTGGTGAGAGATGGCCTGGTCTTTGCGGGGAGGTGCCCCCAGGGCGAGAACGGGCGGCTGCGCCCCTGCCCGAGGAGGCGGGGAGGGCCCCCCCCGCCCCGTCCCCTCCCGGTGATGGGCTGCCCCCGCCAGGCTCGCTGCTGCCCCGGGGGATGGCGTACGCTGCTTTCACCTGGTAACAAAGGGCAGGCACCCCCCAACCCTCGGCTGCAGCCTGCGCCCTCCTGCATGGAATATTATCCAGTATCTGAAGGGGACCTACAGAGAAGCCGGGAAGGGACTCTCTGATAGGAACTGTAGTGATAGAACAGGGAGTAACGGGTACAAATTGAAAGACGGGAAATTTAGGTTGGATATTAGCATTAACTTTTTTGCTGTGAGGGTGGTGAGACGCTGGAAGGGGTTGCCCAGGGAGGTCGTGGATGCCTCAACTCTGGAAGTGCTCAAAGCCACATTGGATAAGGCCTTGAGCAACTCGGTCTAGTGGGAGGTGTCCTTGGCCATGGCAGGGGGACTGGGACTAGATGATCTTTAAGGTCTATTCCGACCCCTTAACATTCTATAATTCTGTGGTAGCAAGGGGAAAACGGCTGCAGGGATGCTGGGGACACCCCGAGGGAGCAGCCCCTTTGCATCTCCCATTCCCCCGGCGCTGGGAAGCTGCAGGTGTTGGTTGGGAGCTCTCTCGCCCCCCGCCTGGGACCCTCCCCGGGTGGGTTTATCCAGGCGTGTCCTGGAGGGGCCCCGGCCGGGTTGCGGCGTGAGCACCATCTTAATGAGGCACTGCGGCACTGGTGCCGCTGCCCGCGGGACGTGACGGCGGAAATCCTGCTCGTCTGCCGCCTCGGCCCGCCTTCCCCGGCTGCCTGCGAGGAGGAAGGGTTCCTGGCATGGCCGCTGCCCAGCTCCCCGCCCCCCATTCCGGGCTCCCTCTCGGAGTCCTGCCGGGCTGCATCTCCCGGCTCGGTGCGGGGCACGGGCGGCAGGACAAACCCGCGTTAGGTACAACGCCCACATCACGCCCAAATCCCCTCCATCCAGGAGGAAGGTGTGGGAACAGTGTGGTCTCTTCCAACTCAGAGTCTGTGATTCTAAAGGATTCCGGTGATTGTAAAGGATGGAAATCTGGATTGGCGGAGGGGCGGGGGGGGGAGGTGGAAGGAGGAACGTCCCTTTGGCTGCTCGGTTGAGCAGGTCTTTGATGATGAAGAGGGGGGAGCGGGCTGGGGGAACGACGCAGGTACTGGGGTGGGGGGCAGAGAGGGGTCACACAGCTCAAACGTAACCCAACTCTCCTTATACCACTGCTATTCCCGGTACTGCCGAGGTGCTTGCGGCTAAGTTTAGACCCAGCTGAGGTTACAACCTTTCCTTAAAGGCCAGAGGATGATGATGGCTCTCGTGGTACAGCAGCGGGGCTGCGAACGCGCGCCGGGGTCCGTGGTGCCCCAGCCGCAGCCCACCGAGGGAGGCTCCCCGGTGGAAGCTTCAGCGCAAACAGGAGGCCCCTGTGTTTGCTCTGGCGGGGGCAGAGTGCGGCCGGCATGAGCCAACGCGGCCCTTTTACCCCGGTGCCCGGTCGATCCCTCACCCGTGTACCGCCCCCCCCCGGCAGCACCGCGCCGCAGCCGCGCGTGCCGCCCGCCCCACGCGGAATGGCGGCGGCGGCGGCACAGCCCGGTGTGGACCCGCGCGTGGGGCTGGGGGCGCGGGCCCCGCTCTGCCACCGCCTCCCGCCCGCCCCGCGGCCGGGGGGCGGCCACCGCCGAGCTCGGACGCGGCAAACAGTACAGCGTGTTTAATCAGCGAGTCCTCAGGCGCGGGGAGGAGGGGAGAGGGCTGCCGGCGTAGCCGGGGGTCCAGCGGCCGAGGGGAGCAGCTGCGGAGCTGGGCAGCTCCTCCCGGTACCGCCGCGCCGCTTCCCCGCAGCCGCCGCCGCGCTCCTTCGGGGCGGGAGCTTCGGGGCTTCGTCCAGCGGTGCGCCGTGCCGGTTCCCGAGCCTAGGTGCCCCTGGCTGTGGAGAAGCGGGGCTGTTGAGCCGCCCAGCGGCGTCCCGCCCGCCTGCTCCCGCCCCGGACGGGCCCCAGCACAGCCCCGTCAGCGCGGGGGGTCCCTGGTCCCGGCCCTGGCCCTGGCTGCTGGCAGGTGGTGGCCCCACAGCCTGCCCCGCTGCCCCCATCTGCTCGCTATCTGTGCGTTCAAGTCTCCCCTTAACTTTGTCCCTGCCCGCTTGTTCGAGCCCCCTCACTGCTGGCCCTCTCACCTCAGAGCCCCTCCAAATCTAACACCCCAAACCACTGAAGGTCCCGATGCGGTCCAGTTTCAGCCCAAAGCAGCCCCTGGGCATGGCCTTCCAGGCCCAATCTCCAGGCAATGCCCACTTGCGACTGGCGAGGGTCTTGCGCCAGAGAGAAGAACGGGCAGCTCTAGCCCCAGATGGGAGGAAGGGGAGGGTGGAGGAGACCAACTGAGGCCCAAAGCTGGACCCCTCCTTTGTGTCCTCTTCGGCCAGTGTGGACTCGGGCTCCAGGGGCAGCAACCGTGAAAGGAGCATCTGGGATAAACAGAAGGAAGAGGGGGGTGAGAGCAGAGATCCCTTTGCTCCTGGCTATAAGCTTTGTACCCCCTTGTACTCCACTGCCCGCACCCTCCTTAGGGGTCAGGCAGGACCTAAAGTGATGCCTGCACACAGCACTATGCCTGTGACATTGCATCCAGACAGAGGGAAGGGCTAGATCATGAGCTCTTGCTGTCTGAAATTACTTTGCTGTTGAAAACAGCAAGCAGGCACCTGCTGTGAGCCTCCACCTGCATGCAGATTGCCCTGCTCTTGTCAAGCCATACACCTCCCTCCCAGTCCTGGATTTGGAAGGTAACAGGCTTCGGTCCTTGCTCCTCTTGTGGATGCTGAGCACCTCTGCGTGTTCAGGCTGCTGTGTGGCATTTCATTTTTTCCAGAAGGCTGGTGGGAAGGATGGACCTGTCTCAAATTGCTGGTAAGAGGGAGAGGCAGGAGCACAGCAGGTGTGAGGAAGGGGGACTCCCCATCTGTCAGGAATCCTCTAGATCATCTTTGCTGATTGTACCCCCCCAGCACTGCTGGAAGCCTGCAGACAAGGGTTGAGGGGTGCATTGGGCGCAGTAGAGGCACGGCTTGGCTGCCCTAGGAAGCAGCCTATGGTAACCGTTCCACATCTGTCTCTCACATGGATGCTGAGCTAAGGCTGAAGATGCCTTTGTGCAGCTCTTTGCGGTAGCGAGTTAACTGAAGCGGACACGGGCATCTTCAGCGAGGAGTGAAAGTGGTGAGTCATACCAGGATCAGTCTTATGATTTTAGTTCATGTCCTGACAACTTCCCTGGAGCTTTCCCAGGGTTATGTGAAGGCAAGGTTTTGGGGCTCAGGCTAGGGTTTGGGTAAGAGGGAGCTGTGTAGATTTGAAAGCCAAAAATATTATTGCTGAAACTACTGAGGATAAAAGATTTACTCAAGTGAAGAAGCCTTTAGCTGGCATCCTGACTGCGGCTCTTGGCCTTAAAGAGCGTCTACTGAGGGGCAATAATGAGCTTAGGAGCAAAAATCCTGGCCAAATAGGATACATCTTCTCTCTGAAACGTCAGAACCAGGCAATGAACATGATGAGAGGTACACCTGTGATTTCTGGTCGTTGCTGACACAGAGCAGGGTTAGATGGGTTAAAATCCTCTGCAGAGCACTAAAAAGCTTTTATGTGTTTCCCATCTTGAAATGCTGATGCTCTTTAGGAGCTGGGTTATAAAGTCACCCTAGAGCTGAGGCTGCTGGACTGAAGGGGAGGGAGCAGTGAGAATAGACAGCAGCCTCCAGTAGTTGAAATTTGGGACCACCACTCATTTGAAGTTCAAAAACAACTTCCCCAAATTGTCACTCCACTTCTGAAACCTCCCTCAGCTCTCTCCCAGTCCCTCCTACCTGTAGCCTCTGTCCTGGTAAGGACACAGTCTGAACGCTGGCAGAGAGCAGAACCAAGAGGAGGAAAAACGAGCAAGGCCATGACTGGAGCCCCTGCATCTTCTTCTTATCCCAGGGCTTGTGGGAGGTGAGGCAGGACATGCAGCATCCGTGTTGAATGCGGTCCCTTGCCCCTCTCTGCCTTTATAGCTTTGGTTCTGGCCGGTGCCTGGCCCCCAGCTCCCTCCTGATCCACCCCCTGGAGCTCCTTAACCTTTCAGCCCTTTTGTCCAGGGTGATATATTTCAGGGTGAGCTCAGCAAGACCCCTTCCTCTAAAGAAAAAGGACACAAAGGTGTTTACTGAGTGTCTGGAAAGACTAATGTCTTCAACTCAACTCACTCAGTGTGAGTAGAGCTGCTGCTGCCCAGGACCTGGAGGTATCTGTCAGGGTCAGGAACGGGGTGACACTTTGAAACATGTACCAAAGGAGGATATTGAAGGTTGCATTGTGTAATGGTATTGAACATACTCCTTGTAGGCAGAGTGCTGTTACTGCTGTTTCTCTAATCAGCATGAACATGAACTACAGCTCAGCTAGCGGTGGGCACACTGCTGGCTGCACAGAGCAGACACAGATTCAGCTCTGTGACAATACAGGCATTTGGTTTTAGTATTTATATTTTGGTGAGACGGTTGGCCTGGGAATGAAGAGCTCCTGCTGCAGAAGGTGGGTGAATTCTGATGCTATATGGAATTTGTAGCAGTAACAAGCAGTGACTAGAACCCTGGGTCTAGTACTAGTGGGTATATAATATGCAGGCTGGTTGTCCCAAGTCACCATCTGGAAGACTGGAGTGAGTTTCCAGAGGAACCGTCACAGAAAAGACCTTGTCGAGGCTCAGCTTGCACTTTCTCAAGCTCAGGCACACAATGGAAGCAGGACGGCAAGGAGCAGATTCCTACCTCCTAAATCTTCTGGCCATTAGTTCCCCCCCTTTGTTTACCTCTCCCATTTTACTGTAGTTTCTCACCAGTTGAACAAGGCAATGAGGTCACTGTTTGGAGATTAGGGTGCAGAAGTCAGCCTGAGTGTGAAGACAGAAACTAATCAGGAAGGTTTGTCAGGGGAGAGGAATGGGGGGACTGTACCCCGGTACAGGATTAGTAATGGTTGTACTGGGCGAGTTTAAAACCACCTTAAACTTCCCTTTCTTCAGTACTGTTGCACAAAGCAGTTGGGTCAAAACTTGACAGGAAGTGTTGTGCTGCCTGCTTTTATTTTTTACAAGGAAAGAAGAAAATTAGAAAAAAAAGGTCTTTTTTTTTTTTCCAAGGAAATAAGAGAAGTAGAAAAAAAAAAGTCTTTTGCAGAGACAACAAAAGTCACAGTTCGGATATTTGCTCTTCCTCCCTCCCTCCGTTCCTTCCTTCTGCACTTGCAGATGCTGATTTGTGGGTCCCTTTCTTTGCTGCCCAAGGAGCTAGAAAGTTTTATGAACTGTTTTGCAACCAGTCCATGAGAAGTGAGTAGGAGGCATCACTCTGGTGCATTGATGCTGGAAGAAGGAGACACTTTGCACAGGTGGGGATATCCAATTTTGTTAGCTCCAGCTGATATCTGTGACCCATGTCTGGTGTTGGTTCCAGAGCAATGCACTGCTCTTGTGATCCTGTCCCCGTCACCCCCTCGCCTGGCCCAGCACTTGGAGGGGCTCCCTAGGTCTCTGCTAATGTCCTTCACTGAGACCTTTCGTGGGGAACAGGATTACTTTCATATCAGCCTTTTACCTTCATACCAGCCTTTTAATCTACAAAGCACAGGTGACTGCTGGAGAGTCATGGGATGTGCTGTCCACGTGGGCATTCAGACGGGGTGCCTGGGCAGAAACAGAGTGTGGGATGTGTGTACAGCCATGTGCCATGTGCTGGGTGCAGTAGGGTATGGAGTATTGTGGTGTGAAAGATTCAGAGGGGTGGAAAAGAAAGGAAGGAGGACAGGAAGTGAGCACGTGTTCATTCCACATGCAAGATGTCCCAGAGGATGCTGTTCTGTACTTCCCAGTCACATCTGACCATCCAGGAGCTGAGTCAGCCTGCCAGAGCACTCATGCTGCCGGCAAGAGAGCTGCAGGCAGGTGCATCTCGGGCTGAACGCACCGGTTGCGGGAGTCAGGTCTTTCCTGAGTGAAAGGTAAGTACCAAAGCAACAACACTTTGTTTTTGATATGAAATGTAGCAGCAGCATGACCTGGCATCCTCTGAATGTGGTGGCCCCCGTACTGCAAGAATGCCAGAAATGTGTTTGCAACTGCTCCAAAATTCCAGTCCACTTGCACAAAGACTGAGCCCTGCAGGGGTGGACAGGCTCGGAGATCTCAAGTGACAAGTCCACTCCTTAGGTCCAGCAAAAGCTGGCACTGGCAAGGGGGAAGGAGCCATCACTGTCTCCTACCAAACAAGAAACTTCAGAGACTGCAGAAAATTTGCAAATTTTCTTGCAGATTCTTGTAAATTCTTGCAAATCCAGCAAAACCTGGATAAAATGGTGCTCAATTGCTCAGGTACCATGATGTTGCAGCTGCTCTGTGTCCCAGATCCTTGCTGGGACTGCAGTAGCACTGAATAGTTGGTCTGACATGTCCTGGCAATGACTGTGAAGTGAAAAGGCTTTGGCAGACGAGTCCCCAATTGCCCCAGTTTTCTCAGACTCAAATAGGTTATTGTCCTTCTTTCCTCTCTGATGCTAACAAGTTTCCTCTATAAAAACCCTTCCGCCTCTGATGCTAGGGCACTGATTTGAGAGCTTGCAAGACCACCAGAAAAGTAGTCTCCTGCTAAATCACAGTCAGTGTTTTACAAACAGTTGCTTATATAGGAAAGGAGCAGAGCAAGTGGAGAGTGGGAGGACTGGGAACTGAGTGAAGTACCCTGAGGGAACGCCCCTTGGCCCATGGTGATGGAAAGGGATAATGGTGGCTGCAGGCTCTAGAAGGAAGAGCAATATTCACATTATTCCACTGGTATCATTTGTAGGAAGGAGTTCAGAGCAGCCATGGTCAGGAGGCCCTCAGAGAATGGAAACACCACTGATCTTGGCAGTGAGTAATCCCAATGCCTCAGAAGCAAGGGAGTGACATTAGTACTTCAGTAGCAATTCCTGGTCATTTTGGCAGCCACCAAAATATCTGCTTCTGAGGAACAGAAGGGCAGCAACCATCTACTTTAAGCAGTAGCCACTGTGTAGCTGTCCAAACCCCTCTTGGGTTTTGCCTCATCTTTCTGCAGGACTTCTTGATCCATGACACAGGACTGCTAATTTTTCCAGTGTCAGGAGATGACAGTGAGGAGAGGGGGATGCTCCACCTGAAGAAGTTGCAGAAAGGGATCAACTAGAGCTCTCACTCACTGACTTTCCACTCTCACTTGTCCAGGCAGCATAGTGTCAGGACAGAGCAAAAGACAGGGTGCAAAGCAGTGAAGGAGCCACCGTGTCACTCATTTAGTGATTGCCAAACCCTCCTCCGGCTCTCCCAAAGAACTCCTTGTACTGAAAAAGCATGGCCTGAAGGTGAGCCAGTGCATAAGAGTTTTATGGTCACCTTGCTTCCTCTATCCACCCATTCATATTTCCCCTACTGCAATACTGTCAACATATTATCTCACATATTGCACAGGCTTGTAAAACCTCAAGCCTGAGCAGACACCCATACATGCTGCCCTTTTCTTTTTTCATTCCCATATGTGAGTGACAAACCCCGTGGGTGGTGGGGGAATCACGTACCGTGTGCATGACTGTGTCATATTTACTGCTGCTGCCTCTCTCCTGTAGCCTTCACTGAATATTTTACCAGGGAGGAAGGGAGAGAGGGGCAATATTACTGTAGCTTTCTGATCTTTGTATTTCACGTGATTGTCCTGTAGCTACTGGCATGCTCTGGCTTTGGAGTGTATCTGTACTGGTGTCTGGCTCTTATGCCAGTGGTGGCAAGTGTGCAGGTATTCTCACTGTGCCATGGGACTCAAGTGTGGTGTTTCGTCCACATGGCCCACTCCAGTAGATACACCTGTCACCCCGTCATTCCCCCCCATTCTACTTGTTTCTACACCCATTTAACATGTTTATGTCCATTCAAGTATTGGCATGAAAAACCATAGGCCCAGGTCAGTGCAAAGCTATGCAATTACTAATGACTTTTTTTTTTAAATAGGGATCAAATTAAGCTACAGCAATCTTTTATTGCTAGTTATGCAGCCAGGCCAGAGGGGAACTGAGCACCGTGCTCTACTTCCTGGGTGAACTAAGGGTAACCCCAATGACTGTGGGAACTTGGTAGATCCTCAGAGACAGAGACTGCAGAAGATCTGCAGGAACGTGCAGAGAGGAGGAGGACCCTCCCTGTCCCTGCCCAGCTAGTGACTAGTCTGCTTTGTAGGCAGCTGACAGGTAAGAGGAAATTATTCTGTAGTAATAGCTCTGGGACAAATGCCAACTTGCCTCTGAGACAGGAGGTTAAAGGTTATTTATGTGATTAACACAAAATCTAATTTAGGGCACTTTATGTTCACAGGGCAGTTCAAGGAGTGCCAGGACTGACTTGAACACTGATGTGGCATTCCTGGAAGAAAGAGGGTAAGTGCCAGTCTTATTTGAAACATAATTGGATTTGCAGCAAATACGTTCCAAAAAGCACAGTGAAACAACCAATGCTATCAGTATACTTAACTACCTGATCAAATCAGAGTTATTAAAAGTTAAAGTTTTCAGTGTTATGTTGTTTTTGTTTTGTTTTTTTTAAAACTTTTAAAAGATTTATTGAAGTCTTTGGAAGCACTCTAGTCTAAGTTAACCTCTCTCTCTCTCTCTCTCTCTCTCTTTCTCTACAGCCCCCAATCCCTCAACTCTTCTTTGATGAGATCTGTACAAGAAAAAAATGCAGGTAACTTCCCCTCAGAGCCCTGCTGAGCTTTACAGGGCAAGAACTCCTAAAAGGATCAAACATAAAAACGCCTAAACCCAGCAAAATCGTATTGGTCCTGTGTTGAAAGAAGCTGAATATATAAGCATATACAAAATGAGAAAAGAATGAGAAGTAGTTTGGCTCTTCTTAGAAAGAGTTTCTTTCAAAGATTTTTTTTTTTTTTTAATAAAAGCAGCTTACTCTTATCTGCAAAGCCAGGGCAAAATTGGTCAAAGTGGCAGCTATGTTCAGCACTGCCTTTCTTTGTGGAGATCCCAAAAGGCAGGATTGGAATTGCTTTAGCCTGGTGTTAACTTCCATTTTGTCTTCATTTAAAGCACTGTCATATTATGGGGTAGTTCAGACGAGAAGATGACTGCTGCAAGGGATGAGTTTTATTTTTAGTTAAAGACAGTGGCAGATGGTTCCCTCAGCGCAGCCGGCGAGCTGAAGATCTGGTGATGGGAGTTGTTTTGGTGGGGGTTTCTTCCTCTCTTAATTCTGCCAATAGCTCTAAAGAGAGTAAAATGTGTCAATAACCAGCACTCCACTGCCTTGAACAGAGAAATCTCCAGGCAACCTCCACAGTGCTCTGAATCCCACTACCAAAGGAACATCCCTGTTGGGCCAAACCTCTAGTTCTTCTCCCCTTTCACCTTTCAAGGGCACATGCAGGATGCCTTACCATCCTCAGAGCTGTTCTCCTCGTCACTGGAGAAGGTGATCACAGCTTTTTTGCGTGGACGGCGCTTTTGGGCACGCTTCTGGTTTCGGAGGGTACAAGGCTGGGGTGTGACAAAATCTTCATCATCCCTGTTGACTGGGCTCAGGGGCTGGCGGCACGAACCTGTCAAGAAAAAGGGGAAAAAAAGAGAAAGGTAGCAGCCATTCTCTCTGGAAGGGTAAGGGAAAACCCCTAGGTGTCTCTGCTGGACTGCAGGATCACAGGGAAGGCTGCAGCCTCACAAAAAGAACATACTTCTTATTGTTTTCTGCTTGGCTGGCACTGACACTGGAATTTGACTGCCTTCCTGGCACGTCTCTGTTGAATCCAGCCCTCGGTTATGGGAGGCAGACAGCTTCTGCTCCAGCTCTTCAGCTAGAGCCTGATGGAGATGTAAAACAGTGCAGGGGGGGAAAAAGAGAAGGTGAAGGGAGATAAATATTACATCCATACCAGAATTGCCATCAAGTTAAATAAATAAATTGGTAAATTGTTAGGGATGAGTAGTAGTCTGTTTAAAATGGAAAGCTGCAGGGTTTTCCAATCAATATATGTAAAAAGCAATCGCTTTTCTGGCCTGGACACTTGTCCCATATCCTTACTTTAGCCTCAGGTTTGACACCTGCTCTGCGGAATCGAGCAAGCACAGTTTGGAAACAACTGTAGACAGCTGGATCTTGGAGCTTATCTGCAAAGCAGTCAAAGTTGTCCTGCAGCTTGTGAAGGCCCCGTTCCGAGACTGGAAGCAGAGTAAGGCAGTGGGACAGATCCCGGTATTGACGCTCCGTTCTGAGAAAGACAAAGATTGCCATTAGCTCTTACAAAAAGCGGGTTGTGAGGGTGAGCACATCTCACCTAGAGCTACAGCATTTCCTGCAGGTGCTTCTGCCTCGCAGAATGTGAGATTCAGGTTGTTCTGTTACAGGTCAGTGACAAGGTGCTGTGCCATACCACACACAACCACCACTGTATGCCAAAGACACTGATTTAGTGTCTGTCAGAAAAACATGAAGGCTCCACTGCTGAAGAACACAGTCACTTGTTTAGAAAGTATGAGAAGTTATTGCTGACTAGGAAGAAAAGATGACTCAGAGAGGTCAGGACTCCTCTTGAAGGGCCTTATTATAAATAATAAAAAACCCCTGGCTGCTCATTTTTGCATGTTTGAGATGATCTCAAGCAGAAGCTGTATTTGATGTTCTCTCTCCCTCTCTTTGCTGGCCAGAAAAGGACATAAAGAAGGTCATATTCATTAAGTTATGAAGTCAACAAATAACAACTGCTGTATCAAAGGACTACATTCAAATTCCAGCAAAAGTTATAGGGAAAAAAAACAAAGGGAAAGAAAAATAAATGCACAAACTATTAATGTAGCTCACCGTGATGGAATGGGAGGGGAAAAAACTGAGGCCAAAGCCCCTATTATTAATATATACTAAGCAGAGGGCCTGAAGTCTGTCTGCATCTGCTCTGTAAGAATGCTCTGCTAAAACCTAAACAGATGCAGAATAAAGCTGCAGCATCCAGGTATTTACATCTTTAAAGTCTGTATGATACTTGGCAAGTTGCTACATTTGGAACTCCAGAAATGCTGAGGAGGGTGATAGTAGGGGCAAAATCTTCTCTGATAAGCTCCTGTTTTAACGTGGAGAGAGAGCCTTGCTTTGGCATTACCATTAGTGTTCATCAGGCTGATCATCTTTGTGGTACAGAAATATCAGGACATTTTACTAAAGGCTAGACACAACTCACACAAAGATGGTTATTTACAATGTTGTGTGAAGAGCTCACCAGTGTTCCTGGGAGGCAACCTGGGAGAGAGGGACCACTCTCCACTCCAATTCAGGAAACAAAATCCAAATATTTTGGGAAATATGCAACTCCCTGAAGCAGCTGAGCAGGTCACATGCCCAGGCACTGTGTACAAATGGCCAAGATAAGCAGACACAGCTTAAACCTCAAGGGCAAAGCCACAACAATGGGAAAGGAAAACCACAGGAATGGAGGAAGCAGGGTGCACCAAAGCCAGTGGAAGTTAAAATGAAGATATCATTGGAAGTACATAACAGGGAGGCAGATAAATTTGTTACCTTTCTTCTTGGGAAAAAAAAAAAAGTGTACACCTGGGTTACAGCTTGGGGAACAGGCAAAAAGAAGCAAAAAACTCTAAAACCTACAAAGCAAAATGATATCCCAGATTCATGGGGTAGGCCCTGCACTATATACTCTGTAATCAGCACAAGGAGCAATGCATACATGTCTTCCAGATAGAGCAGAGCAAAAGCCTAAGTGAAGCCCTTGAATAACATAATTAAAAAAACCCACCCAAAACAGAGTCCCAGGCATAGAGTTAGTACTGAGCAGCCCATGCACATAGAACAAGGACAGGCCTTTATCAGCTGTCATAGCTGAGATGACTGCTGGGGAGATCCCAACTTCTTAGTTGAACACACTGATTTCCCAGCTGAGCTACAAGGGAATAGCCTGTGGAGAAGGACCACAAAGATACGTAAAACCCGCATGTGGGATGTCCCCTTGCTCAGCTGTAATGCAGATCTAAACTGTCACAAAACTTTTTTCCTTAAGAAAGGAGGGAAGAGGGGCCAATCACTGCCTTAATTTATACACATTTATTCATGTATTTTTAGGAGGAAGGTAGTTAAAAAAAACCCTGGGACCTAATCCAGGTTATGTCAGCATTTGTCACTTTGCTACATGAAGATTATGATGGGAACCTGTAACAACTATCACTGTACAACAATATAACAACTATACAAGCTTGTTTCCTCTAACAATTCCTAAGAAACAAAAGTGCTTGTCAGGAAAATTAAGATTACAACCCAACCTGGCAGTCCGGAATCGCTGACAAAGTTTCTCCACCAAGCTCTCTGTCTGTTTGTCTTTTGTAATATATGAGAAGAGATGTCTGCAAGGGAAAAAAAAAAAGCAAAGTTGAGAGCCCAGAGAGGAGACCTCATTTCAGGTAGGAGGGGTGCTGAAAAGGCAGCAGTGCTGACTTCCTTCTGTCCAGTTTTAAGAGCAGGCAACACTTTCAGATGATCTCCTCACTTCACAAGTTGCACTGACAGACTAGTATGTTTGAGAAGCAGACCTTGAGAGTAGCAGTGTGGCATGCAGTATTTTTTCCCCCCTTCAACACCATTCTTGTGACTTTTTCATTATTAATTTGCTGAAAGCGTGTTGTATTTTGGATCAATGCAAAAGTGAGCATTACTTGGCACTAAAATGGGAACAAAGCCTAACAGAAGTTAAATGCTAACGTAATCCCATTTTTTCTTAGTTTCTTGAGGAATAGAGAGATCTGGAATTTCACACAGTTAAGTACTTGTGCATTTTGCACTATGTCCTCATAGAAATCACTGAATAACTTCTATTTATTAAGAAGGTCCTACTGTCCTCCATTTTTCTTGTACCAACATTTCTGTTAACTTAAGCTCAGTCAGGTTGCCACTGGCCTTGATATAATTGCTCTAAAGCACCTCCGTGTTCAGTCTTTGTTATGTCTTCAGCATTCACACCAAGCTATTTTTCCAAGATACAGAACACAGACAGCATTCTCAAGAGTCCTCCCTTTGCAGTTGTTCCAGCATCAATTCATCATTAACTTAAGTGACCAGAACTGTGGTAGTACTCCAGGCAAGGTCTGACCAGCACTACCAATGCTTCCCTATACCAGAAAAAAACTTGACTGCTAAAGCAGGAATTGGAATGTATCTCTAACTTGAGCCATAGCTTTACAGAAGACGTTAAACAACATTTAAACATTCAACTTCATGCTTATTATGCTAGTTTTCATCTCAGTTATTACTGCTGTAACTCTCTCACTCTTCAAGTTAGTCCTTTAATGCTGACAGTTCCCCCACTCCCCCTATCTTTTTTACATGTCCCTATTCTCTGGTTTGGCAAGTATCCCTGGAGTATAAGGCACTGCTTCATTCCTAGCTTGTGCTTTTGTCCACCACAGTTTCCAAGTTAAACCAGATCCTCTTCACTTTGGAAGGATTTCATATAGTGCTACATGGGGAAATAGTTCAGTTTCAACTACTATTCCCTTTTTTCCCCATTTAAAGGATATCATGTGGTGTGATAAGTGATGATCAGGTCTTCTTGAAAATCATTTAGGCTAATTTGATACCTGTCTACTTTGTTAAATCAATACTGCCTTTTCTCTCATTTGCCAGATACAGTCTCTCCCTGTATGTTGCTGGAAGTCAGAGAAGTCCATCTATAGTTTTCTTAACCCCACTAATCACACTTTAATGTGAGTGCTACACGTATTATTCTCTAAGTCTGTGGTAACACCTCCAGTTTGAAATTTATTAAAAATGGTACTGAAAATTCCAAAATTACTTGGGATTTTTCTGCATGCTGCCTCTTGTCTCTCTATGATGCTTTGCTTCGACTTCAGACATTAACTTCCACTTCTACAAGTGCTGTCAGGAGCCACATGCAGTATTTCACATTACCGTCCTTAATGAAAGCTGAAGCAAAATATCCATCTACTTTTGCTGCCATAAATTATTTTCAGTCTCAATTTCAGCCTCAGTAATAGGCTTTTCTGTGTCTTGCAGTTCCTACCTGTCCAAAATCCCATCCCTCTTCCTAAATCCACTGGATTCTCACAGATAGAAAGGCTAGTTGAAAAATCACGGGAGATTTTATTGTTCTTCTCTTCAGCAATAGCAATACTTTTGTCCAATACTCCCCTCTGTAATCCATAGGGATTCAAGCAACTCAGAAAACCCGCCACGTGGTTAAGTTTCAGACATGAGTGGTAAATATGTGTACTTTACTAATAAAGACATTATTTGTGTTATCTATGAGCAACCAATAACCTCAGATTGAAATATTCCAATGTCTCTATACTATACAGTAAGGCTTTCTTAAAAAAAAAAACACAACAAAACACAAAGCACCAAAAAAACCACCCCAGACCCAAACCTGTAGTTATAGTTACTATAACTACAGCTTTACTAAAACTGCTTACAAAAATCCATTAGGCCACCAACATGACAAATGCAGTAGTCTTCAAAACCTGTTGTGTTCTCCCAGTGTTGCATATCCATATTCCAATGTATAAAATCAACTATTTTCCTTTTCTAGAGGGAAAGTAATTTTGAGTTAGTGGTAACTCTTTGTAGAGTCTCCTCTCACCCCCAACTATGTGGCTTTAAAATCAATTCCCCTCAGCATGAATCCATTTCAAATACAGACTGAAAAAGTCAGATCAAGGAGAACAACTGAAATAGCACTTTGCATATGTCACTGTAGTTTTTCTTCCCTGGATCTGGCACTCTCTTTGCATAAACATAGTCCTGGTCCTAAGAGATTTATTTAACTGCAAAATACCTCATAATAGTGTGGAAGGATTCCTCCTCTATGGCGCAGTCAGGATTGGAGAGATGACTGATTATGTCTGGAAGCAGGTTATAGATGGCATTACCCTGTGCAGAACACAAGTTTCTATATGAGATACAGAATTATAAAGGATAACTTGAGTAAAGCCAATTAAGCTGCTCATTTAAAATTACTTCCTTTTTCCCCATCCCAAATCTACTGTCAGAAAACACCAGCTTTTTGAAACGAGCTGTACACAGTCAGCCAAACCTTTCCAGAATACTTGACTGAAGCTAAGGGGGAAAAAAACCAGCCAACCAACAAGCTGTAACTGCAACCCAGCTCTGCTCTTTGGCAGACTTGGATGCAGTTTCTTTGCTTTCCAACCTTGTCAGAACCCAATGAAAAAAGCTTCCTGATAAAAGAAACAGCTTGAGCTGAAGCTCAAGGAACTGCTTCCCATCTTGCCTGAAAAGGTCCAGTCCATATTCACTTTCCCACTGCTTCTACATAGTTTTGTCATACACACTGAAGAGATAGCAAGTCAGCACAGTCAGGTGGCTGGCTCTGCTTTAATGGAGCAAACGAAGACAGAAAAGCCCCAGTGTCACTGCAGTCTCTCAGGCAGTAAATGTCAAACTCTGAAGGGCCCATGTGAGGCTACACTTTGAATGAACAGGGGGTAACCTGTACTGTTCTTACCTGTTTGGGCTAAAACTGCTTCAGTTTAAGTATCTCAATGTCACACAGCCAAGAACAACTTGGAAAGGTTTCAGAGAAGGTGCCTGAGCCATAAGGTCAGGGAACTCTGCTGTAAGGCCTAAAGGTAAGCTGCAGAAAACTGCTCCAAACCCTGTTGTATGCATACACAAGAAAGCAAAGGGACAAGACACTGTTTTGGAGCCTGCTTTCCAGTGTGAATGGATGAGATCAAATTTTTAGCAACATCAGGCAAAACTTGTATTGCAAAGTTTCTTTTAGCTACTCTTATTTGGGCAACACAGAGGGACAGACAGCTGCTCTACACCACTAACACACCTCTCCAGGACCCGGGTCATTCATTGATCCAGCCTCCAACAGCCCTTCCCTGCTCTTGTGAAATAAGGTCCCTGATCATCCACTTGCCTTGTTGGAGAGTTCGCCAAAAAAGTTCTGAGCCACTCCCACGACTGCCTCGTCTGGGTCTATCAGCAGAGCTGCCATTTCGCTCACTTGGCCCTTCACCTTCACCATGTCTTTGAGGATGAGGTGAGTCATCACGAGTCCAGCTGTCTGCCTCACACTTGGGCAGGGGTCCTGCAACCTGACAGAAACAAAGAGTTACTGCGGGAAGCAGCGGAGTGAGGGTCTCTAAGTTACTGATGCTCCTGACAGCCTATTCCATAGCCAGGCCTGTTGTCTTCCTGCACTATCTTCAAATTTGGTTTCCTGGGTCATTCTCGCCTTCTGGAGGTCCAGTGTAACCCTTCCACAGAGTTTTCATCACCTGTCCTCTCCCAACGATGAGTGTAGCATTACCTGGCATAGAGATGTGATGTCCATGGCTCCACCAGGTTGGGGAAGTGGATGGCCAGATCTCCTGCTGCAATAATGAGGTTGGATCTCACACCAGGCAGGGGGGACTTCTCCATCATCGTGAACAGCAGACGCAAGTGAGAGTCACAGAACTCAGAGCTGACAAGACAGGGTACAGGAAAGAAGGGATAGATACCAAAATTCCATCTCTCACAGAGCAGAGAAGAAAAAACAGTTAAAGAAAAAAGTAATTTATGAACACTCTTCTGTGTTTGTTCTTTCTTTGGAAAAGGAGTTACAACATTTGCTTATGCTTAATACTAGGAAAGCTGGGAAAAGAACTCTGGCATGGCTCAGTGGTACCTGATCATGCAGAGTTTGCCAAGAGTTAGGGCTGCAGCAGCTGACAGTGCTGAATCGCTGTAGAGTCCAGGGTTGTTGCAGATCTTGAGCACCAGTGGAACAAAGGCAGAGAACAGGTGCTTCCCTAGAGAGTGGGGTTAAAGACAGTGAGTATAAGAGCACTGTTTGTGTATCCTGCTTTATAAACAATTACTCAATTTATCCCAGAACTGCTGCAAACTACAGGAACTGGTTGACTCACTTTCGCCACAAACAACCACCTCCAGAGAGGCAGAGCAAAAAACCAGCCACATGGAAACTGACACCAGGCCAAAATGACTGTTCCCTTCTGAAGAAAACAGCCTTCCTCCTTCAGGATACCCACCATACCTGTTCTTTCACACAGGTAGACAGAGCTAGTGCTCCTTGGTGGCAGCCACACTTACCATCTAAAAGTTCTGTCTCACAAATACTGTGGATGAACTCAGCCTCAGTGTCATCAGCCGTGGCTGTCACAAGGCCCAGCTCCTCCTCCATAGTGGTCTCGTTTCCTGTGGCCTGTGCAGAAAGGAAGACTGTAAAAAAGATGTCAGGCAACAATAACCTCTTCCTTCACAAAGTTCTCTTCTCTGAAGTGTGAGGTATATGCATATTACCAGCCGCACAACTAGAATGGAGAACAACAGACTGATGGAGATTTTATAACCCAAGAACTCAATGAAGTTGTGAAGGATAGTCCAGGATTTGCCAGCCCACATGCCACAGAACACTAACCACAGAATCACATAGTGAGGTTGAAAGGGACCACAGTGGGTCATCTGGTCCAACCTCCCTGCTCAAGCAGGATCATCCTAGAGCACATCGCACAGGATTGCAGCCAGACGGTTCTGGAATGTCTCCAGTGAGGGAGACTCCACAACCTCTCTGGGCAAACTGTACCAATGCTCAGTCACCCACACAGTAAAGTTCTTCCGCATGTTTAGATGGAACTTCCTGCGTATCAGTTCCTGCCTATTGCCTCTCTTCCTAGTGGTTGGCACCACCAAGAAGAGTTTGGCTCCATCCTCTTGACACCCTCGCCTCAGACACTTATACACATGGATAAGGTCCCCTCTCAGTCTTGAGGCTGAAGAGGCCCAGCTCCCTCAGCCTTCCCTCCTAAGAGAGATGCTCCAGGTCCTTAATCATCTTTGCTGCCCACTGCTGGACCTGCTCCAGGAGCTCCATGTCTTTCTTTTACTGAGGAGTCCAGAATGTAAAGAAAGCTTAAGCTACCAATGCTACTAAGATGAGACAGACTTAGGACACATCTGGCATCAATGTGGGAGTCCTGTACAACTTGAGGGACATTCAACTCCTAAATGCAAGCAGCCTTTAAATTGCTGGTCTCATGAGCAAGATTATGGGAAACCTTATAATAGCAAGGCAAAAGTAACATAAGGGAAGAAGAGAGACATGGGTGTTGCAGTGGGGACCAAATCTGTATCCAATTGCCGCTTCTTGGAAAATCTCATAGTAACCTCCTCCTGTGTGGAAAATGGTAGTGACACGGATAAGCAGGTGGATGAGGAAATGAACTACAGAGTTCTCTGGGCATAGCAGGAAGCATCTAATAGAGACTGGATACCTAGGGACATACAACATTTTTCTCTATTCTTACCCAAGAAAGTCAGCCTCATTACACTCCGGAAAATGTTCCAAGGTAGACCTAACCAAACAGGGCATTTCCATCACATAGATCCCGTTAAGAAGGCTCCTGTTAAGCCTTCATCATTACACCTAAGAGAGGACTAGACTCTCAAGTTTCTGGATCAGGGTTCCAGAACCCAGGGAACAAATGGGTGTTCTTCACCACCAGCAGCAATTGCAAAAGACTGCACTGGTAAAAAAAGAGGTGATGAGTGAAAAGGAAATGTTTACCTAAAACAGGAAGATAAGTACGGCCAGGACTTCACTCTTCATTCCCTCCCCTCTGCCTCTCCAAAACCCAAGACCAATGTGAGAGTTTTACTGAATAGGGTCACTCAAGGACTTCAGCTCTCCCTGTCAATCCTGACCAACATCTGTTTGTTTCTACTCCCAAAGCACACATTACCTTGGACCTTGTGCAACCTTAGTAGTGCATTCTCCAGAAGTCAGCTGTAGCTGGGACACTACAAGAGCTGCTCATAGGAAAAAACCCTTGGTTCTCACCTGGGATCTCCGCTTCTTTTTGCTGCTGTCAGAATGCTTCTTGGTCTTCTCCTCTTTGAGGATGCGGCGTCTGCGTATCTCTGCACTCACTGACACTTCCAAATGTGCTACCTGCTGCAGTGCCACTTGTCCCACGAGGGACACCAGGTGCATCAACATGAACGTGGGGAGACTGGCAGCACCACCAGAGTCTCTGCTGGGAGAATTCCCTGGATCTGAAGGAGAAAAATTACTACAGTTCAGTGTTTATCTAGATCTCTTTCCCATTAGTTACTGCCAAGTCTCACTGTATAGCCCATCTCCACGCTCCACAGACTCCTTCACAGCACTTGCACCCTTCCATGCCAGCACCTCCACTAGCCCCTCAGCTCTATTCTCCTGCAGTTACTCTAGGCCACACAATTTTAGCACTGGAAACTATAGATATCCTTCATCAGCTTTTTTTCTCACCAGAGTTCTGCTCATCAGCCTCCTGCAGCTTCTCCAGAGCTTGCTGACTGCACACTTGCAGGATGTGAGCACATATCTCCTCTGGCCCTTCTGCCAGCTGGTAGATGAGCATCACTGCTGCATCCATGAAGGGGATCCAGTGAGTACTTGGCTGGGCAAAGCCTGAAGAGAAGAGGTAGCAATGTACCACATATACCAGTGACAACATAGGCAGCCCAACCTTATCTCCTCTAAACCTACTGCTAACTTGAGCTCACCTTTACTCACAGTCTCACTCAGGCAACCAAAGAGCATGTGATTCTGTGGCAGTCGAAAAGGTGCACTGTTCTTCTTTGCTGGCTGCAGAGAGAACAGATGAGTTACTCATGTAAGAACAGCATGTGAGATTCCCCCCATGCCCTTCCCAGTACTTAATCTTGCTGTGTGCACAATGCTAATCAAACCCATGCTAGGCCCGTGACAGGGATACCCAGTACTGCTCTGCAACTGAACATACAGCAGGGACATTACTGTCACTTTTGAAGGCATGGTGACAGCAGTGGGTGGATTTAAAGCTTGGCCAAATGATGATCCCAGGCCAACCCAGATAGTTTCACTATTTCACCTTAAATCAAAATAACTCTTCAAATCTCAAAAGGATTCTTTTAAAATCTGATATTATTGATTCTTTCTTCACAACAAATGAAGAAGGAAACCTTTAGAGCATCTTCAGAGTCATCAACAGTAAGCCAATGAGAAAACCCTTGCCTAGGGGTACTCCAGAACCACAAGGTTTTGTTTAAAACCAAAATACCATCAGAAGAAATAACAGAGGATAAGTCTGGATCCAAGACCATCTCACATTAGGCTGTTGCATATACTCTGTATCACTCCCATCACATTTTAGGTTGGGCATAAGATAACCTTGAGAACTACTAAACCAACTGTGACAGTAGCCAAGCTGTCCCAGCACATCTGTATCCGCCTGATGAAGATATACATGACCAAAACAGAGGGTTTACCAGCTTTCAGTAGCTGGAAACAAAAATTCTCAATTCACCACAATCTGTCCTCTGTACTGAATTTCTGGTCAGGAGGGTGGGGGGGGGGAGAGAGGAAGAGCTACTACAGTCGGTCAAGTATTTTTAGTTCTGTCCCTTCTCACATACAAACTTAGCTGCAGACTTCAGTCAACTTAAAATTGAATTACATCCAATTACAGAACATTTAAGAATGTTGTGATACACATTAATTCACGAAGTTCCTGCAGCAACATCCCCAGCAGAAGGGGCAAACACAGAATGACGGTGCTGTGTGAAGGAGGGCTGCTTTTATGATAGAACTCCTGAACCAAAATGCCCCAAATGCTTGAGTCAAAAAAAACAAAGAGAGGTTTTTTCCCCAAGTGCATTAAAAAAAAAATTATAAATTGTTTCCCAGGCAAAGAAGCCATCAATCATCATGTTGTTCTAAGTACAATATGGACAGGTTTGAAAACCTTTCATGTTTTATATTCTGCTGTACAGCTGACAACTCCTGAATATCAATTAATAGGGAGGGCAAAAGAATCACACCACCAGAAAACATTAGCAGAGGAAAGGGCTTCATGGTTGAGAAAACACAAATCAGTTTAGAATTGGGAGTCTGAAGAAGAGAATTGAAAGGAAAACATATTTTCTTGTGCACTGAACTCTTTACTAATTGAATTCAGCCTGTTGCCTAATGAAAATTCTTTTATTACATGCTCACTGATGTGTGCTAAGCTTTCCAGACAGTGCTGCTGAATGGTCTCAACCTGCTTAATTTCAAAATCTGTAAAAATTTAATTACTTCTCTCTCCTCTCAATACAAACCATTTCCCCCCCTTCTTTGTTTCTGGATGACCTCAAGAACAAACCAAGAGTCTCACCTTAGGGTCACCACCAAGTTTGGAGATAACATTGCATACTTCTTGAGCCAGGCAATAGTCTTCACACGCCTTCTCAGACAACCCTACTGTTATCAAGATGTCCAGGTTGCTACCTATGATCTCTGGCTTCCCTCTGTGGAATGGAAGGGATGGGGGTATTACACGAGGTGCTGCTGAAAGTTTACAGAAGTGTGGATAACCAAGATAAATACTCCTTTGTGCCTTCTGGAAAAAAATAAAACCCATCCAATGGATCAAGATATAGCTATAGGAAGAGCAAACAATATTCCTCAAAAGCCAGTGTAATCCATACTCTACTAAGAGATGTAGTTCTCCAAAGTGATCAACACTGGGCAGAGCGTCTTTACAAAGGAAGAAGATTTTTGACTCTTCTTCTTTATCAGAAAAGAGCAAAACTTATAAGGGTAAGACAAAGAAAAATGTTGCAAACTAGAAAAGAGCCCAAGAGCTCAGGATTGGTGACACGTGCCATTTCCTCCCCTACTGTGGGAAACAAAATAAAACAATAACATCATCCAAACCCCCCCCAAACCCCACACCCACCCATTCCCCTTTCTGCTTGTCAAAGATCATCATTATGCAGGCCTATTTTTGACTGATGAAGAACTGAGGTAGGGACAGCGAGAAGCAATCAGCAGGTAAATCGAATGCCAAAGGGTTACTGGGCTGGGAAACTGAGGAAATGAAAACCTTATAGTGCAGATACATTCTTTTTGCTCCCAGAAAGTGAAACAGATTTATTTCCCTTCATGCTATAAGCTCCAGAGATCTCTACTCAGCAGCTTCTCACTGTTCTTATTCAAACACAGACAAAGCTGCAGAGCTGTGACACAGTAAACTCTGAGAAGGGATGGACATTCAGAACACAAGGAAAATAATGTCATACTCATTCAGAGGCTGTGCTGGTGAGACCCAGCACAACTATGTTTAGTACCAGGCTTCATTACCCCATGATAGGGTTACTGTTTTTGAAGTTACAAAACAAAACAGTCAGCTGATGCAGCACCCACAGTTCTTCAATAAAAATCGACTGCCTGTACATCCTCCCACTCACAGGATTCGACCTGACCCCAGGCTCACCGTGCCATCATCCCCAGCAGCATCACAGCAGCACGTTGTTCTAGTGACGAGCACTGAGATTTTTCTGTGAACTGCTCCCAAAGCAGCTGGATCACAGCAGGCTTTATTTCATCTTTCTGCACAAACTCTGAGATCTGGAAAAGAAATGCAATTAAAAAACTAGGGAGAGGCAGAGGAGGATGGACTTCAAACCAAAGACAGTAACTGCAGTGACTACCATTTTAACATAAAAGACATCTAGAATCACAAAGAAAATCCAAACCCAGGCAAGGCAGATACTCACTATTTCTTCTAAGCACTGTATTGTTCCTAGCGATGCATCCACCATGATGAGAGAGAGAGAATGCACCAGGCTCTGGGCCTTGGCCCTTTGAAAGGGGAAAAATAATAACAAAAGAAATTAAAGGTAAAGAAAAAGCTACTGTCACAATTACTATCCTATTAGAGAGCTGAGAACATCTATTAGGTAACAGAGTTAATCCTTGGGAACAGGAAAACTTTCCCCACCACAGGCTTGAGTATTCCTAGCCACCCAGCTCAAGTGCCAATGAGCATGACATGGGCTCAAAAGTCCATGCTCCTCCTGGTGCTCAAAGACCCAGCCAGAGGCACTCAGCAGCCACTTCCCAGTTTACTCTCAACCACAAGTCAAAGTACGATTCCCTAGACCATAAGACACTGAAAATTTCTCTATGAACAATTAAGGCCAGAGCTCAAACTGCAGGGGAGTTGTCTCCAGGCAATACTGTCAAGAAGAAATAAGAAGCAGTGGGTGCTTTATATTGCCCTGAGGTACAAATGAGGGTGAGGTATGGTGCATCTCACCAGAGATCACACTTAACAATTATTGTATGTGTATCCAACAGGATTTACAAGTGGGCAAGCGCTAAAAAAATGGGCAAGTGCCAGAGCAGAGAAGAGACACAGCTCTTCTCCAGTACAAAAGAAACAAGCCTGCAAGTGGTACCCAGCTCCCACCCCCAAATCCTCAAAAAGAATAAACAACAAAGAGCGTTTAATATCCTCTCATCTAACACACATAGAAATTTGTTATAAAAAGATTTAAGATCATTTTGACTGAAATACAAATAGAATTCTGTGTGAAAGCACCCAAATGATAATAACAACTAACCTTCAACAGTGTGAGGAATAAAGAAATGGTGTATTACTGAAAAACCGAAGACACAACAAGGACAGCAAGACCCCCAGCAAACCCTGAGGAATGTATTGTGTACATCAAAAGCAGAGTGCCTACACTCAGATAAGGCCACAGGATGCATGACTTGCCAGCAAAAAAACTTGAGCTCTGGTAACAAATATAGCTCCAATTTCAGACAATACTGTATACCATTCCTCTTATTATCCCAAGAGGATGAGCAAACTACAGTTATAAGAAGCTCAAAATGGGGAAACAGACACTGGCCGCCAACAACTTTGCCCACAGAGGGTGAAATGTACCAGATTCTTGGACACGGGATGACTCTGTCACAGCAGTTGACTCCCAAAGGGTTGAAACATCCATTCAAAAAGACTAGTTAATTGTTGCCAAGCAAGAACCCTTCTGGCAAGAGAAACACGCACAGTTGACACCCCTTGGAGTTTTGCTGCATGAATTTCCCATACCCGAACACTATGACAATCCAAGAGCAGAAGCTCAGCAGTATGTCCTGCACGAAGGCTGGGATACCCAGCTATATAACCTTATGTTTCAGCTCAGCATGAAGCATGGCAGCTTTTAGTTCTCTTCCTGTCCACACCCCATTCCTAACAGCAGAAAGGGGGGGTGGAAAGATGAAATAAAAAATGAAACAAACCCATAACACCTTCTGCTTACAAAGGCCCATACCTCTCGGAATCCTCGCTGGGGCTCAGATAGAGTTGCCTGTAGGCGTTCAGCACGGCCTCCTTAATGCCAGGCTCCTTTGACCATATGAGAGGGAGCATCCTGCGGACTCCAAGCAGTGCCTGGGGCACACCAAACTGTGAGACCGTCACAAAGAACTCAATGGCTTCCTGCACCACTGCAGAGGGAACAGTTGCATTAGTGCAGTTCTTTCCCAATTCCCATTAGAGAGGCCATTCAAACAAATTCACAGGGGTACTGCTCTCACAGCAAACTCTACAAGCATCTAAAGATCACTGCTAATGTCTGCAGAGGGCTCAAGTCAGAATGGGATCACTAGTACACAGACATAGGAAAAAAAAAAATCTCATGGTCGCAGCAGACAACAGCTGAATATAAGTCCCAGGGCAATACTATAACCAGATTAACTAAGCTATTGATGTACAAATGGGCTCTGGAATAACGCATTTGGTTCCAGCTTGACTACTCCTGAAATATACTGCCCAGTCTCCTGCTCATAAGACAAAAAAAAACATTAAGTAAGCCAGCATTCCCAAGAGAGCCAAGGTAGCTGTACAGAGAAGCTGTACAACAAACAGTTCATAGTCTGACCTCTGGTTAAGTAGGAGTTTTTACCAGTATAAGCCCCAATTTCCAAATCTGAATTAAGTACATCTATGAGAAAAGCTGGTATGCTTTCCCTGCCTCCAGTCATACCAGAAGGTATAAGTTTGCAACAGAAAAAAATTTAAATCTTCAAATATTAAATCTTTAATTACAAAAAGCTAAATCTGAGCACACACATCCCTTAGTACCAGCCCCTCATCCAGCAGTGTACTCTTTCCAAATGGAGACAATGTCTCAAAACATCTCCACTGTCCAGACACTGAATCTGCCTTCCTGACACTGCATCACAGGACAACAGGGAGATGGAAAGTTAGTAAAGTCTGCACAGCCAGAAAAAAACCCCAACCAAAACCCAGGTGTTTAAAGTGTCAGATAGGGGCACTCTCTTGACCTTGAACTTCAAATGACCTGTAAAGACATTGAACTCAGGAGTTCATTTTTGTGTGTGCAAATAGCTAGATATCAAACCTTGCTGGAGAAGCCCACATGCTTATCACAAGTAACATGTGAGTTCTTAACACAGTTGAAGCCTCAGAAGTGTTTCCATGAAGCCAGGGCGCTGTTGCACCAGACCCATCTTATCCCAGATCTGTGCAAGTGGACATGCTGGAGAGGATGGGAGAGGGAATTGTGCCCCTCTGTACCTCAGCTCCCTTGGAAATGCCAATTCATGATAAACATTTCAAAAAAAGTCTAAATGGTTACAGTAGTTCTAATTTTAAATATGAACAGCTGAATTAACTCAAAACACCTTTCACTACAGCACTGAAGAGAACCAGGCCACAGCTCATGTTTAGCCATAAAATAAAGTTTGAGGAAAGGTGAGGTGGATGAGATCAGCTGCTTAGTTCCCCTCTTGTGGCCAGCATAACACCTGAAGCTCTATCAGGGCACTGAGCATGTAACAAAGCCCAGTTTCACTGGCCATGCTTACTCTGGGAGAACCTCAGCCAGGACGATGAACATACATCCTTTCCCCACAGGAGGCAGAATAGCTTCCACAAGTGAAGGCATTTTGGTCACCTGACTGGTGACCAATAAAATGGTTCAAAACCATTTTATTTCAAATGTTTTCAAAAACATTTTTTAAAATATTTTAAAAACACTTCCAACTTTGATATTTAAAAAATGGATTCCTAAAGAGCCCATTCATGCCCTATTCAGCCCCTTCCTGACATTCATTTAGATAGTGACTGCTTTTCCAATATCCTGGAAGTGCCTGTGACACCTGCTCAGCAAAGAGCAGCTCCTCCAATCTTTTCCCCTTCTCCTGGAGCTCCATCACTACAACATCTCTCCAGCAAGGGGAGAGACCTGGAAATGCTGAATGAGGAAAAAAAATGCCCCATGGTTATTTCATGTACCTGAGACAGAGTTTTCATACATCAGCTTGCTGATCAGGTTCAGAGCTTCTGTGATTTTCACTGAGAAGTTGTAAGCATCTTGCAGGTATTGCACCAACGTCTCCTGTTTGAGCAGCTCTGTTTGAGACTGCTCTTCCTGTACAACTTCTTTGGTCTTATGACTACTGTTGTCATTTGGAGGATCCTCACTGTTCTCTCCTGGGCATGAACCTGCACAGCACACTTGTTTGTGAATAATATAGAAGACACAAGAGAAATAGGCACGGGTTCAGGACATTTTAACCCTTCTCTCCCCACCACATAGTGACACCTTCCACGAGCCACGATACAGAAGTCCAAATTTTGCCTTCAGATCTGACTACAAAATCTCAGCATTCTCTAGGGCAAGTTCCAGTACTACAGTGAGATGCTCCACAGACATGCCAGCTTAATACAAGGATGTAGAAAGGCCCAGTCCAATTGGTGTAAACTCCATTAAAATCCTGAAGGGGTTAATCTGAACTTGACAGCTCCCCAAAGATAGATGAGGCACTAAAAGAAAAACAGGGCAGAGTAGGGAGAAGGCAAACACTACTACTCACTAGCAAAGTTTGTGCGAGTGTGGAAAGTTGACAAAGTTAAGAAGATTTTTAGACAGTAGGCTTCTGATAGAAATGTGGTCAAGGGGATTGGCTAAGTAACCTTATGCTGAAACAAATACCAAACAAAGCACATGAAGTCTTGCAAATACACCCAGAGACTCAAGCCCCAGATAAACAAGACTTTGCTTGAACCAGATACTTGGTCAAGGCTAAGTGTTATGTGCCACCACCTGTTCAGGAAGCAGAACTCCTAAATAATTCACACAGGACAGAAAGGTGTGAGTGGGTAACATGGCTTCACTCCCCTCAGCAGATATTACATGAGGTAAAGCATCAGAAATGCACTTCTACTGGGAACATGGAACTGTTCTGACCAGAAACGAAGTAAGACCAAGCAAGACAAAACTAGATGAGTAAATGATCCACAGACGGTGCAACTCCATAAGCTGTCAAATACACATAGAATGAGCCCCAGAGGTCAGAAGGAGTGACAAGGCATTCCAGAGGGTTTTGGTCTAGTTCTGGTATCATCTTGGACTTAAGAAACAGACAAAATGATCTGAAATAGTTACCTGTGTAAAGTCGCTTCAGAACATCCAGGATTGTTGCCTCCTCATTTTCCTCCATGAGGCTACTGAAGGGTTCCTTCCCCTGGAAGCGACACAGGGCCTTCTGTGTAAGGCAGGCTGCACTCCTGGACAATGACATTGCCCAAGAGAAGAATATTAGCGACCCACCAGGGCAGAACACAAGGGAAACCATCCAACTTTGCCGTGAACACCAGGGAAAGCAGCTCCTACCAGCATCTTGTGCTGGGTGGCCATGTCAATCTCTTCCTACAGAGTAATGTTACTGGAAATCATCCCTCCGCCCTGGAGCTCAAACCTTTCTTGAACAGAGAACATCCCTGGTGGAATAAACACTCTTACACCGCAGAGCCTTCTTACTTGTAATTCAGCTTCCTCAGCAGCCCAGTGATTTGCTCCACTGCACTCTCCACTGTTTCCTCAACTTCCAGCATCTCCTCTTCCCTTTCCTGCAGTGGTTGAAAGAGCTGCTGTGTGGCAGCCCTAACTTCTGGCAGCATCGCTTCCCACTCTTCCTCTGGGGTGATCACTGGAGCTAGTTATAAAACAGAAGGAACGAACAACTCAAAGACTCGGGTGACACCTTAAACAGGGAGAAAAACTCACCTGGAACTTAGGAATTCTACTTCCCCCACTCCCTCCTTCAGCAGGCACTATTTCCATTGCTGACCCCACCCAGACTACAGTAAGAGTAAGACAAGAACTCTGGCACAACAAAGAAACCACTGAGGGTAAAAAAAAAAAAAAAGCCATCATTTGTTTAGCCTTGGACTTGCTGCTGCCTACAAATCACGTTTAAATTAATATCAGACCAAAATTACAGCTCAAGCAGTCCTTTGGTGGTTGAAAACGGAAACCTGGGAAGGTGTTCATAGGTATTTTCAGTTCTTACCCTGAAAATAGGATATTTAGTTACATGGACTGTTGATCTAGATCAACATCACTATGATCCCTTTATAACACCACTATACGAAAACCTGTTCTGAGTTTAATCCCAGTTATCTGATCTCACAATCTCACACAGCTAAGATCAGAGACAAAAGCCATCCCACCTGGGAGCAAATTTAAAATGAGGAAAAGTAAATTCTGGACTGCCCTGGAAAGGGAAAAGATGAAGAAAGGAAATTACCTGCTGTGGATCTGACACGGTCCCTCATTTCTTGCAGTTTCTGCACTTCTTTCTTCAGTGGCTTGTCCAAGTCAGCACAGCTTAGCTGAAGATGCCACGAAGAGAAGAAGAAATATGTTACTTATCCTTTTTTTTTCTGAAATGCCAGACTTCTCCTTTCTCTTCCACTCCCTGCTTTAGTTGTCAATCCCCATAGATAACCCTGTTTTGGGAAACTGGAGTAGCAGACGTTGGCCCCGATCCTAGAACAGGAACTGCTGCAAATTGCAAGTCTAAGGCTCAGAAACTTGGAAGGAGGTGCGGCTAAACAGAGAGCTGCAACTCCGTGCAGACCATTCTAAAAAATAATTCTGATCCTAAGGAAAGAAACCCCACAGTGGATTCAAATAAAACTGCTGCAGGTTTTCACCTCGATCAAATACATCCCTCCTGGCCTTCAGTAAAGCTACCAGTTACACCAAGAGAGAGAAGAGCCTGAGACCACAAGATCTGAACCTGGGAAAACAAGAAAGCTCCCATCTGCATAGTCAAAAAGCTACGCTGTCCCTCCCACAAGACACAGAAAGGCTGCTCCCCAGGCTATAGCACACTGCAGATATTTGGCCTGCAAAACAGACATACAGCATATCCATCACACTAATCATAATTACCTTGCAGGAGAAGGGGTTGTTGGACAAAAATGCGGCCAGGAGCTGGATTGCATTTTTAACTACTATGACAGATTTGTCATTGAGACGTCCAACAGCCAGTGATACCACAGACTGGAAATGAGTCAAAGGCAGGGCCTAGCACACAATGAGAGCACAAAGTTATCAGAGGCTTAGAGACTTGGGAAAAGTTATTTTACTGAAGATGTATTCATGTATTAAATGGCACAGATTATAGATTTACAGAAAAGTCTAGGTCTGAAAGGATCTCTGGTATCTTCTGGTCCAGCCTCCACTGAAAGCAAGGACTTAGGTTATACAGGGTCCTGTTGAGTCTAGTCTTAGCATATCTAGCAAGGGTGATGTTCTCCCATACTAGTGTCCAAAAAGAGGCTGCATGCTGTGCTCTTTCTTCTAGTTTGTCCCAGTAATGAAGAGCACCATTTAATTTCTGCCCCCAGTTCCCTCACCCCTAGATGTTTGGTCTCTTGGAAAAAAGGAACTGCAAACACCAGAGTACACAGGGACAATACCTTTCTCTGTTAAAACTTTAGTCTCTGCAAACAAAAGGCAGAGTGGCAGAAATTCCTTCAGAAAACACAACAGGGGAAGGGATGACTGAGGCAACACCTTTTCCCCAGCACAGACTTACCTTGCACTGAACGATTCGAGTGAAAAGCTGCAGCACGCGGCTGCGCACGAAGCTATGGACGTCACACACGTGGGCCTGCAGCATACTCAGGAACTCGTCCCGAGTGCCACGGGCAGCTTCCTCCAGCTGGTCACCATTCAGCACCTGCATCAGCGCTTCTGCCATAGCTGCCAGAATGGCATTTCGCATCATGTAACTCTGCAAAGAGTAGAGCTGTTGAACCAGGAACAGCCAAAAGACATGACTTGATATGGCAAGGGATGGCCCAGAGTTTGGGTCGTCCAAGTCCCAGGCTCCAGCCTTAAGTGAGTTTTTTTATTATGGACATTATATTAAACTTGAACATAGCTGTGCCTGCAAGACAGAGTAACCTCTCCTATGCAGACAGGCCAAGGGAGTTGGTGTTGTTCAGACTGGAGAAGAGAAGGTTCCAGGGAGACCTTATAGCACCTTCAAGTTCCTAAAGGGACTACGAGAAAGCTGGAGAGGGACTTTTTACAAGGGCAAGTAGTGATAGGACAAGGGGGAATGGCTCCAAACTGAAAGAGAGTAGGTTTAGATTGGATATTGGTAAGCAGTTCTTTACTGTGAGGGTGGTGAAATACTGGAACAGATTGCCCAGAGAAGCTGTGGATGCCCAGTCCCCAGAAGCATTCGAGGTCAGGTTGGATGGAGCTTTGAGCAACCTGGTCTAGTGGAAGACGTCCCTGCCCATGGCAGGAGGGTTGGAACTAGATGACTTTTACGGTCCCTTTCAACACAAACCAATCTACGATTCTAATCCAACCCTGCCATCCAGCTGGGTCCACAGAGGCGAAGAACTGACATAAGAAACACTTAAGAGAAGGTAACACAGTGACAAACTTGTTAAGTACTGAAGACCAAGAGACAACAGCTGGGAGCTCAGACCAGTAAGCAGTCTCCCTTTCTCTGACATCCAACCATGACTACCAGGCAGTAGATGTCATGGTTTCTGTTTCCTTTGTAGCATTTAGGTAAGGGAAGAACCTATTACAAAGGGCAGGTTTTGGCTACTTGAGCTCTGTGAAAGAGATTCTGTTTTCAGACAGAAAAACTGGATAGCAGCACCTCCACCACTTGACTTCTCTGGACAGGTAACAATGCAGAAACATACCTCCCCATCCAAGTGGTGCAGGAGAACGCTCATGTTGGATAGCACCAGAACTGGAATCTCTCCGGCCAGTTCAGTTACAAAGGTAGAATAACCCTTGACTCCAGAAGCCTCACGAGCCAAATCCTGTGGACATTTCTGTCCAATTTCCCTGCAAAGAAAGATGAAAAAAGGAATAGGATGCCTTAAGTTGCTAGGGGTAGAAGGACAAGTGTCAAGGTATTTTTCTCACCTTAGCAATTCACCCACCAGGCTTTTCAGACCATACTCTTTAGCCCAGAGGCTCACGGCCTGTGCAAACACAGGGGCTACATGTTCAAAGTGCTGCAGCATCTGCGTGATCTTCAGCGTGGCACCTTTCACACGAGACAAGGAAGAAAGAGGTCAGGGAAAGTGATTGGGAATGGCTTCAGGAAGAGGGCAGAAGAGCAGGAACTCACTGAACATTTGACGACAGTGAATCAGAGCTCCAGCAAGCAGATGTGTCACAGCCTCCCGTGTGGCACGATACTTCTGAAGACCGATACTTGGATTCTCCAGGATACGGTAGCAGCTTCCCATCATTAAGCTAAAGCCACAGAAGACAGACAGCAAACCTATCACAACTAGAACCAATATCATTCTACCACACCACACTAGGCAAACATTTCTATCAAACCAAACAGATTCTCCAATATCTTCTAAAAATTAGCAAGCAACATCCGAATTTTTGAGGAAACAAAGTGGTTCCTATACACACTAATTTTGCCTCAAGCTGGTTTCCTCAGTTTCCCAATGATCTGCACCCTCCAGATGACTGTAATGCCACCTCATTGGTCGACTTAACATTTAACCCTCCCTTCCAGAGAACCAGTCAGTCATCCCACCTTTACATCTGCTCCATCCCATACCTGACAAACTCTTCTTCCACCGATAAACCACCCCAAAGCTGACGGAGATCCAGCTGCAGCACCTGCGTAAGCAGCTGTAAGACTGGCTCCCTCTCCTCTTCCCAGAAGGATCCAGAAGTCTTGGCATGGTTCTTCTTGTTCTAGAAGGGAGATTAGACAATATGATAACACCAGCAGCTTGATAACAGAAAAAAAATAAATCACCAACCTTCTTCCCTCGAAATGTCTGTTAATTCTACAGCATTAGGAAATGCACAGTGATATGCATGACATCACAGAGTCACACTGGACTTTCCCAAATTCTTCTCTCTGAGCTCAAGCTGCCCCACTGTCCAGCACAGGTCACAGCTGGCACCCATGGGCACCTGGACCGAGGCCAGCACTGGTGTCTCCCGTGGTCTAAGGACATACCTGCATCCGCTGCCTTCCTCTTTTCCCACAGAAACAAACTCATGAGAAAATACTGGCACACTAAGTACCAGCCAGACAATGAAGAGCAAAACAAAAAGGCCTGAGCATCCCAGTCCCTGCTGATGTTTAGACATGACTGTCCATTTGTTTTCCACATGCAGTTTCACAGAAACACCAGCCCTCCACCTTATGCACTGCTTTTGCTGGCATCAGGCTTAAATAAACCCAGCTATAACATCTCATAGATGTTCATCAAGCTTAAAAATTTTTCTGACTTTTATCATCTTGTTTTTCTCCCAATCCCCTCACCTACCTTCCCACCAGGATCCGCCTCTGACAAACTGTTCTTGAGGGTTTCCATTTCAAAGGCATCCACCAGGGAAGTCAGCAAGTAGCAGTTCATCTTAAGAGCATTGAGGTGAGTGGCACGGTCTGCATGGCTCAGCCCAGCGTCACTCAGGATGCCAGGAAGTTCATTGGAATGATGGGACACCACTGAAGAGAGGCAGAAAGTCATGAGCACTCCTTGCCGGGCCCCTCAGCCATTCTCTCTTTTGGAGGATTAGAGCAGTCATCAGATTACCAAAGATGTGTGCTCACATCTCACCAGCTGTAACACGGGCTGCCCCTTGCAACCCAAACCTTGGACACGCTGTCTTATCCTATCCCCGCAGCCCTTTTTCAGCTCAGAGAAACACTCACTCTGAGCTGATGCATCCTGAAAATGTATTTTCCAGGGATGTGGGCTGAAGGATTTTCTGTTGGTCTGCCCTTACAGCGAACATGCACAGCTCAGCATCGTCCACCAAGATTACAGACCCGTATGATAGGAGTGGGTTGAGGGTGCAGCCCAGCTGGCTGAGTCACATTAGCCTTTATATCATCATTGAGCTGCCAGGGGAGAGCAACCTCTCCCTTAGTCCTGCTTCGGCCAGAAACAGCGGATACCCACCGTTCACCATCAGCTCCAGGGCGTCCTCCTTGACAGCGGTGCCCACGGTTCGGAAGTGGCTGTGGGGCAAGCACAGTGCGTGAGGGCAGCGGGCAAACAGCGCCTGGCGAAGGGGTGAGCGCCCGCCTCTCCGCCTCCCTCTCCGCCCGCTGCCCCCCGTACTCACTGGAGCACGCTGTACACCGAGTCGAAGTGCTGCAGCACGGCCAGCGCACCCCGCGCACGGAAGGCGGCCCGGAAGGCTGCGGGAAAACACGGGGAAGGGCGGGGGAGACACGGTCGTGAGCCGCGGCAGGACCGGGCCAGGTCGGGAGGTGGGGTGCGGGGACAAGTTACCTGCGAGGGCGGGTGGCAGTTCGCGGATGGGCAGCACCTCCTGCACCACGTAGTCCCCGCGGCCATCGTCTCGCAGCAGGTCGGCGGGGGAGACGGGCAGCTGGAACTGCGGAACCGCCACCGCGTCCGCCATGGCCGCCACAGCTCAAAACAGCGCGCGCGGGCCGCGATCGCCCCGCCGCCTCCACGGGCCTATCACCGCCCGGCGCCCTCGCCGCGCGCCAGCGTCGCGCCCAATCGCCGGCCCCCTTGCGCTCGCGGCCGTTGGCTCGACGTCACCGGCGCGTCCCTGCGCTCCCCGGCGGAAGGGGCAGCACCGCCGCCCGGCCCTTCCTGACCCTTCCCGTCCTTCCCTCTCGTCCTGTCCCTTCCCCCGGAGCACCGGGGGTCACCCCGATGGCGGCAGCGGCGGCGGCGCTGCTGCTGCGGCCGGCGGGCCGGGCCGTGCTGGGCCGTGCCGCGCCGCTGCTACGCGCCGAGCGGGGCATTAGCGAGGGCGGCGGGGCGTGCTGGGCGCCCGTGCGGCCCGGCCTCCCCGTGCCCCTCTCCTCGCCCCTGGCAGGGCTCACCCGGCCCATCCGCATCAAGGAGCCGCCGAAGCGCAAGCAGGTGGACCGCTGGACGGAGAAACGGGCCTTGTTCGGGGTCTACGACTACGTGGGGATCCTGGGTAAGACGTACAGCCCGCCCGCAGGAGGGGGGGGAGGTTGGACCCACCTGCGGGCTGGCGCCTCCTCCAGCAGCCAGAGGGGGGGGAGGATTTGGGCCGGCCGCCCTAGGAACAGCCTCCTCCAGAGCCTGGCTTCACCTCTGTCTCCCCTCCTGTTCTCAGGCGGCTTCCAGATCCACCCGAAGAGTCTCATCAAGGGGCCCACGTGGCTGCGAGGCTGGCGGGGGAACGAGCTGCAGAGGTGCATCCGCAAGAAGCAGATGGTGGGCGATCGGATGTTTATAGAGGACCTTCACAAACTGAACAAGAGGATCCGGTACTTGTACAGGCGCTTCAATCGCACCGGGAAGCACCGCTAGGGTTCAGCATGTGGAGCGTGGGTTTGTGGCATTGCAGTCAGAATAAAGACAGCTTTCATTCAGTTGGGTTCCCAGTGTTTCCTACAACCTTTGCTGTGTATTTCTAGCTGCTCCCAAGGTCCTGCTGCTGCTCCAGCCCTGAGCTCCTCTGTGGAAGTTCTTCTATGCCCCCTTAAGCATTTCTGACGTACTTCTTGCAGACATCTGTTCCAGCCTGCATCTCTGAACTTAACCCTTGGGTCTCTATTTTTTGGTCAGGTTTCTAGCATCCTTTTAGTCTCTGTTAACCCCAGGTTCTCACATCCTATTTGACAATTCCAGTATGCTCCAGCTTAGATAACCAAATTTTCAAGTTAGTGCCAAGAGTGCCTGCTAATATGTCTTCCTGCTCACTGCTTTCCCCCTTGCCCTCTACTTATTTGTGATTAAGTGTGAATGATCCAAATGTTAGTTGAAATGCATCAAAACTTGTCTTAAGAATGGGATTTGTCTCCTGTTTCACACTTATGATGACTTAAACCCCTACTAATGACATTTAATGGCCAAATGGCCTTTTGTTTATAATTTAGTTAGGATTTGCAAAAGTAATTCAGGTGTTTAACTGTTTTTAAAAACTCTAGCTTCTAGTTTTCCATAACTATTACTGGTTCCTTTAGTGGAGAAGTTACAGTGAGTCACAGCTGGCATCCCTCTAGTCCAGCATCACAAAGACTTGGGAAAAAACTGTAGGATGATCAGGCATTTGCCTACCTCTTCTCCCTTAGCTGTTAATTTGGCTGCTGAGTAATTGGGGAGTTACATCTGCTGACTTGATGTATCTTGCTACAGAGCAACGCTGCTCTGTCTCCAACAGCACTTGGTTGGAAGTGGCAGGGAATGAATGGAAAGAACTTTCTTTATGTCTAAGCCTGGGAAAAGTGAAGGCAAACTCTATTCAAACAGCTGAAGTTCACATTCTCAGAAGCAGGGTGACAGACCCGTGGGAATTGCCAGAAGGTGGTGTGGATTCAGGAAACGTGCACAGATTCAACTGGGGACTGAGTAAACACCTGAAAGAGAGCAGCTAGGGGTTATTACATATGTAAACTGTAGGTGTAGGAAATCCTTAGCTGAAAATATGTCAGAAACAGGAAGAGTGTCAGAGCAAGTACCTTGTACCCTTTGTCATCTCTTAATCCCTAAGCACCAAGCTGGCAAGGGCTCTGTGGCCACTACTTCCATAAGCTCCATAAGCTCTGTCTTTGGTTATTTGCAATGGTTATTGGAACAGGCCTTGGACTGCGGTGGGAAGGTTGCCAGGCTACAGAAGCTTCTTCCATAACTTGTCCCTTCGCAGCTTGACTGAAGGCTCATCTTAAAAACCTTGAGTTCTGCTGAGCCCAGTGCTAGTCTGCTCCCATCTGCAAATCACCTGGCTCAAGTCACAACCCTGTATTATGTGTTCACCTTGTAGCCGTGGTATTTTGGTTCCCATGCTGTCATCTATAACATATCTGTCTTGTGTATCTACTAATCTATCAGATCTGATACTAAAAACTTCTATGAATGTCCTGTATCACCTTACGAAAGGAAAAGGTGTTTCAGTGTGTGAACCCACGCTTGTCATCCTACTCACCACACCAAATGCCCTATGAAGAGACTTCTTGTTCCAATATGCTCCTGCCTCCTTTTGTGTCCTGAATTGAAGAATCTTCCCGTTTGATCCATCAGGCTTCTCCAGATCTGCAGAGGGGAAAAAATGCAAGCACGTTGCTGTTTGCGGGGCTGCTGCAGGAGCCTCATTTCCCCCAGCAGGCTGCAGAAGCTCAAACGGGACTTGTTCAGGTTCCCTTTCATGCTGTGTTGTATGGTGGAAGTGGGCCAGCGACACCATCTCTTAATTGCAAGGGCAGCGGCTTCCCCAAAGCCAACAGACACACTGCGGAGGTGGGATTACGGAAGCGCTCCGCAGTCCCCACCGCTACGGCACCCACTGGGATGGACTCCAAGGGAAAAACCGGACGGGGCGGATAACCACGTTCAGGCTCTGCGTGACCGACACGGAGTGCGGCGGACCCGCTCAGGGCTGGCGGGGCCGGAAAGTGCAGCGCCTGGCCACGGGAGAGCCCTAGATCGGGATGGGGATTAAGATGGGGGCCGAGTCACCCCCGGTTCCGCAGGGGTGGGGCGGGGCCAGCACGGGGGGCGGGGCACTGGCCCCTGTCCCATTGGGCGGCCCGCAGGGGAGTCACTGGGGGGCGGGGCTTGCCCCCGCGGCAGTCCGGGGGCGTAGCCGAGTGGCTCGCAATCGCGGAGCGCTGATTGGCTGAGGAGGAGCCCAGGGACGGGGCCGATCTACCACTCCCGGCGGGACAACTTTTGGTTGGCTGCTGGCTCTGTGGGCGGGGCCCGGCCGGCTATAAGTGCGAGTGCCGGGGTTCCCTGGCTGTCGGTGAGGAGCTTTAGCTGTGTGTCCGTCCTGCGGGGTGTCGGTCCGGCCCGGCCATGTGAGTGTCCGACCGACAGACTGGCCGCAGGCTGCGGCGGGCGCGGCGCGGGGGCGGTGGCTGGAGCGCGAGGGAGCGGGGTCAGCGCAGAGCCCGCGTCCCGGCCGGCGGCGGTGGGGCCGAGTGGCGCATTGCAGCAGCCGCAGGCAGGGCTGCCCGCACCGCCCCCGGGCGGTCCTGCGCTCCTGCCGGCTGCGGGTGGGTGGGTGCGCGGGCCGTGCCCCGCTGGCGATGCGCGGAGCTGTCGCGTCCCCCTCCCGGCCGGTGCCAACCTGGCCGGCGGCCACCGCTGCACCCAGCCCGGGGGCTGCCGCGTCCCCACGGGTGCCCCTGCGCTGTCTCCCCCTCCCCGTTCCTCCCCCTTCCTTCCCCGTGTCCCGGTCACCTCCGTGCGGCCCCCCTGCACTGCCGCGACCGATCCCCGCAGCCCCCCTGGGCTTGTCGCTGCTCCGGGCTCTCCAACGAGGCCGCCTGCTCCCGGTCCGAGGGATCCAGGGAAGGTGCGGGCCCGCGGGGCTTCGTGTAGATCTGGGGAGCTGTCTCTCGAGCGGCCTCTTTGCCCATGTGTGTCTCTCCCTAGGTCTGACCCAGCTCCGCAGCCTGCTCCCGGGGCCCCCGAAGGGGGAGCCCCCGAAGGAGGAGCTCCTGAAGGGGGAGCCCCCGGTGCAGGCCCCCCCGGGGCTCCCCCTAATCTGAGCAGTAATCGCCGCCTGCAGCAGACCCAGGCCCAGGTGCAGGAGGTCAGTAGCTCAGCCCTGCTGGCTTCCCCATAGGATGCCTGGACTCTTCTCCCGCTGCTCTGCAGCAGCGATGTTCTTGACAGATGTCTGTCGGTGCGGGGGTGGCTCTTCGTGTCACACCAATGCCAGAAATGCATTAATACATAAACCTATAAAGAGGCTGAAGGAGAGACTGGTTTTTGTTTAAAAGCTGCTTAATTCTAGATATGACTTCCAAAGAGCAGGCCAGTTAGATTTTTTTTTTTTTAAGCACTTCATATCGTGCATCTCTTATGAAAATAAAGCTATACGGCATCCAGGACAGCTCTTAATCCCTGCCTGCTGCTTCAAGGGAACAGTGTGTGTGCGGTGGGATGTGGGGGTATCCTTGCCTGGCTTCCCGGGATCAGTGCCTGCAGCTTGGCTGCTGCCGTGCAGTAGCGCCTTTGTGCCTCACTGGGGCAGCAACAGGAAGCTCCTAAGTTAATTTTGCAGTTGCCGGGGAGTGAGCATATCATTCCTCTCGCGAGGAGAGTGGCTTTGGCTTGCTGCTGGATTTGAGAGCTTTTAAAAGCAGGTGAGAATGGGGGGCTGAAGACCTGGTTTAAACGTTAGTTATTGGCCTACTTCTTATTTTTTTAACCGTCTTTACCGATACAACTGCTGCTACTATTCTTCCTTCTGCAGGTGGTTGATATAATGTGTGTAAATGTAGACAAGGTGCTGGAACGAGACCAGAAACTGTCAGAGCTAGATGACCGGGCAGATGCACTTCAGGCCGGTGCCTCAATATTTGAAAGTAGTGCAGCAAAACTCAAAAGGAAGTACTGGTGGAAGAACTGTAAGGTGAGTTTCCTAGTGCCATGATCTCCTTCAGCAGAGGGGAAACTGGGTTATTCCTCTCCTGCAGGACTTTGCAAGTATACTTGGGGCTTAATGACCATTTCTAATGCTTAAGATTCTTTCACTGTGGAAAGACTTTGAGGCCTTGGCTGCCATGCCTTCAGAGTCTCGCTTACTTTCCCTGGCCGTCAGGGAGGATGTGAACTTGTCCATCTGTTCTGAGTATTACTCTTTGACAATCTTTTTCTCTAGATGATGATCATGATGGGAGTGATTGGTGCCATTATTGTGGTGGTGATTGGAAGTAAGTACCAAAAAGCTCAGGCTCAAGGGTGAAGAAACACCAGCTCTAGACTACTTTAATTTTTCCTTTTTGGTTTGAGATCTCAAGGGTCTTAGTTGCATAAGTGTTAACTTCAGTCCTTGGGGAAGGGAGGTGGAAGTGCTGGAATTCCCTCACTTATTGCAGAAATACATACTTTACATAGTAATAGAAAGAATTGGGGATGCCATCATTGTAGAAATGGGAAATTCTGCCTGCAAAGTCAGGTAAACTTGTAAGTATGAGGGGCCTTTTCCCTGGAGTGGGTGGGTTGGCAAGTCCCTTCCCTGGTGGGTAGTTTGGAGGTCTCTGAGGGACCTTTGGTATAACTTGCCCTTTTGTTCTTTCCTTTTCTTTCCCTATTGCTTTGTCTCCAGTCTACTTTTTTACTTAAATGTAGCTCCTTCAGTCTGCAACCTACTGTCCCCTATCACCTTGCCTGTCTATTCTTGCCTCCAAATCTTTAATTTCCTTCCCTTTTCTTCCCTTTCCTTCCCTTTCACCTAGCTTCTTCATTGATTTCTTTATTGTTTTTAATCTGTCTTCTGTATAGGACTCTGAGCCGCTTACCAAACATTGCTAGACTTTTCAACAGTTGCTGCAGCTTTGGGGAGGGTCCTCTATGTTTAGAGGAAAGGGAAATAAGGAGGAGTGGGTAGCTATTTGCTTCTACTCTTCTGCAGGGAATTTTGGGGGTTTATTTTCAGCTGTGAGCTTGTCAAATAGTGCCTGTGTGAACTCTTGCAAAATAAGAATGCCTTAACGCAGTGCCTTTGGGGATGAAGGACTTCAGCGTGTGAGATTCTTTAGTGTTCTGCCTAAAAAGAGTGGCAGCATGACTTGACCTTTTCATTGAGTTTCTGAGATAAAGGCTAGTTAGTGATAGCCAGTGACTGTGAGCCGTCTGACTAAGCTAGACATAGTGATGTAGATTTCTCTAGCCATGGAGAGATGAGCACTTAAATGATTTATTCTGCCTGTCCTTATTTTCAGATGACTTGATGTCTGAACATGGCCATTTCAAGTTTTATAAAGGCGAGCCTACATGATTACCTCAGTCAAGTGCAACAGGCTAAACACAGTTAAGTGAAAGGAGCATTGTTATTATCTAAAAGGCATGTGTAAGAGTAAAGTCTCTCTCCAGAAAGAACAAAAGAACAATAATTAGTCTGGTGGGAGTTGTCAAATACTCCTTTCATCTATGCACACACAAGCCAGGACCCTGTAGCTTTCTACTATCTTGTAACTTTCTTGAAGGAAGACTTTGGGGCAGAATGGGAATGGGTGTTTGCTTTTGTGTTACTGGGTTGGATGTCAAAGGAAGCTCACTGCTGTAGCAAATGGAGGTGAAGGGGACTGGTGATATTCCAGATGAAACTGAATGAGCTGCACAGCTTTCTGATTAAGAGTATCTGTTCCATTTCTGCTGCCACAAAACACTACCTTTCAGCAGGAGTAGGAAAATACTTGAAATGGTTACCTAGGGATTCAAAGGGAAATGCTGCTTTAGGCGTGGATATTGGAAAGTGACAGCAGATGTTTGGCAACTTAGGTCTCTAGGGATCTATCAAGCCGAAATCCTCCTACTTGCTATGGATTCTCCTGAATTTAGATCCAGGGTGGTCTCTGCTGTAAGTGAACTTGCAGTGTGGAATGCTCTGTCATTCTGTAAGGAAATCCCCTTGTTCTTCTCCATCAAAAGTAACAAGAGCTGTGAATTGCTTCAGTGTGTTGTCAGACATGGCATTAAATGAGCTGCCCTGTTTCTGTAGAGTCTTCCAAGGAATGTGTATCTTGTCTTTTTTTTTTTTTTTTTTTTTTTTTTTTTTAAAAAAAAAATCTGAGCTGTAGCCTGTAATCTAGACTGGAAAGAGGGTGCTCCTTTAATTTAGACATGAGAGGAGATGGGGAGAACATCACCAGAGTTCCTAGATGGGAGCAAAGTACAAAAGATGGGAGGAGCAGATGTTTTTTGTTTCATTTGGTGTGCTGGGGAAGCCCCTTTCTTCCTCACAGGGCATCTGGCAAGAGGTTAGGTTTTGCATGCTCACTTCCATGCCCCAGCATTTCATTTGCTCAAGTTCATCTCCCTGCAATTCCATTCCTATCCACCTTGGGGGAGGGCAGAGATGAAGATCTGGAGTGAAGCAGCCCACGTCCCCTGAGCACTTCCCTAATTCCCTGTGGAACTGAGATGTGATGGATGGTCGGAAGTGCATCTACTGAAGAGGAGCCAGGGCCTGCTTGTGCTACTTACTGCTGTCATTTTAGGGGGTAGGCATACAAGCTTGAGGCTCCCAGACCAGCAATTCTCTCGAACTCTTCTAAACAAGCCTTTGGTGCCCCATTCCTCCTGTCTCTCTGGGGGCTGAGGTTCCCCCTAGGCTGTCTCTTTCATTTCTTTCTCTTAGATGTTGTGTGTTGCCTCCTCCTGTGCTCCCTTTCCCCTCCTTTGTCTCTGTGCATGGGCAAAACAAATCACCAAAGGCCCTCTGAGTAAAAGTGAGGGACTCTGCTGCCCGCTGCATTACAGCCACTTATGCACGTGCAGTTTATTTATTTAATTTATAAACACAACTGTAATCTCCTATGGCATGTTCTAGAAATCAGCTCATGTACTTTTAATGGTCTCTAAGAAACACAATTCACCACCTTACTGAGTCTGTCTGGTCTGTCAGTGAGTGGGGAGGGGTTGGGATGCCAAACTGGTTTTGGAATGTCTTTTTTTTTTTTTTTTTTTTGTCACTTCCATAGCATACACATACCTGAAGTTCTGGCCCTCAAAGCAGTGGCTGGTTTTCCATTGAAAAATGATGGTAGTTCCAGTTGTGCTGGACTGACTCTGGTAAGTCTGTAACAAAATGTACGAACCAGCAGCTCTGGAGTAATAGTCTGCCCAAGCTAACTCTACTTCCAGCCACCAAACATCCAGCTGCTGTGTCCTATTCAGGGGACTACCTTCCTATGCATTCGAGTGTGTTAGTGACAGCTCTAGCTCTCAGGCTGTGTTGTCTTTGGGTTTCAATAACCTCAGATCCTTAAGCCCAGAAAACAATTCTCCATTGGTGTTGGAATATAAGTTCAAGATCCAAATGAACTCCAAGAATAGCATCCTGTTCACAGCATATCTTAGAGCATGACTGGAATAAAGGTAAGTGCCCCATTGTTTTGCTTCACGTGAAACAATAAAACTCATTGAAACACTTGAAACTCATTAAAAAGAAATGACAGATCTTCGTCCCGTGCGGACTTATTTTAAAATGAGGTATTTGTGCCCTTGTCGGCCTCTACTGCTACAAAGGTTAGACTGTAAAACAGTATTCCCTGTAGCCTGGAGTTCCCTTATGATCAATCTTTGTCCAGTCTTAAACATCACCAAAATCGTACCAGAACAATGAACACACCAGAACAATTCAAAATGGTGAATTTGGAGCAAGGCAGACTAATTCTTCAAAGATGAAAGCTTTCCTGTGAAAGGAGGGTGTCTGGACTGGCTGGTGGATTAAAGCAGCATGTACAGTCTAAAATTTCACACAGTTCGGGCCTGCACAACCTGAACAAACTAGTCATGCTACAATTCCTGCCAATTTGTGTGTTGTCTTCCTGTCAGTTCCCAGCCTCATTCATATAGGGGGATAGGGAAAATGTTTCTTGGGACAGATGCATTTTTAGACTGTTCACTGTGCAGTCTCAAAGTCTCTAGCCAAACCTGGGGACTTGAATGCTCATTTTCCAAAGCTGTCCAGCTGGAACACAGAGCTGGAGCTGAACATACTGCTGAAAGTTGCCCCAGGGTTGAGCCCAGTTCATGAGTCACGTTGCGGATGCTTGCAAAGAGTTGCATGTTTAACCGTAAATCCTACAGTAGGTGTTGGAAATACCATGCTCTGCTGGGAGCTCATCTTCTGAGGTGCCATCCTTTAACATATCAGCATTTCTGCTGCTCCTGCAGAGTCTGTTAACCTGGACAAAACATGGTTTTAAATGTGCTTTAAAAGCAAGGCCAAGGCTTTGGGAGAATGGTTCTTCATAGGTCTAATTAAAAATTCAAGCTCTGCCTTTAAACATGAAACATGTTTAACATGCCTTTGAACTGGAACAGATTGCCCAAAGAAGTTGTGGATGCCCCATCCCTGGCAGTGTTCAAGCCAGGTTGGCTGGAGCTTTGAGCAACCTGGTCTAGTGGAAGGTGTCCCTGCCCATGGCACAGGGTTGAAACGAAGATGATCTCTAAGGTCCCTTCCAACTCAAACTATTCTCTGCAACATGCAGCTCCCATATCAACTCTTTCATCCTGATGTCTTTAGATTTGGTGGAAGAAAAGCCCCAACTATACTGCTCTTAAATGGATATGCCTTAAACCTTTATGTTTCTAGATGCCTAAAGCATTGCTCTGACCTCTCCTGAGGTCTCTGGGCACTGATCAAAGCAGGCTGCAAGTTCTCATCAGTGGTGGGGTTTGTGGTCTCAGCTGGCGCGTAACCAAATGATAGTGGGGAAGACAGATTTTTCTTCAGAGTAGAAATGTAGCATCAACATTTGTTTAATGGACTTAGCTTTCCTGTGAAGGGACAGAGGTCCCTGCTCTGATGTATCCACTGGGGTTGGAAGCCTTAACTTGGTGAAGAGAAGCAATAATGGGGAGGTATAGAGGTTTTATCTTTGTTCTGACCTCTTAGCAAATAATTACTCTCTGAGATGTAATAGATAAAGATATAGGTTTTACAAATAGGCAACTCAGCTGTGACTGTTGGATACTTCAGCCTCCATACTTCTGATAATCTTTGACCTATTTTTTTGCCAGAGATAGAGTGCAGCACCTATTGAGAACACCCTTACTTGCTCAAATATGACCAGGCCCATAACATCCTTTCCTTCAGTGCACAGACCCACTAAATGATTTCTTCAGAGGCCAAAGTGACACTTTCCTTTCATGTTCTTTCCTGCCAGGCTTCTTTTCCAAAAGACTTTGTACTATTTTTTTAAATAAATTTGTTGTAATCTCTAAAAAAGCTTTTTTTTAGTTCATTGCTTTTAAGCATGTACTTGAAAGCTGAAGGCACTTTCCTCTCTTGTGCTCAAAAGCCTCTTTTAAATATTGCACATTGGTAAGTACAAAGAACTGCAAGACTGAACACAGACATCTCTCTGGTATGTTCCTGATCTCCGTGGTTCCCCTCTGTCCTTTCACCAACAGCACTGCTACCCTTTTCATTCCTTGATGTACTCCATCTCCACCCCTTAGCTTTTAATGAACCTGTCCAAAGAGCCTGGTAACCCTTTCCTCAAATTCATTCTTGTTTTGACCTCAGTCTATGAAGACAAACCTTGCACCTATCTGTCCAGCTTCCCTAAACCCTCCAGCAAGCAGAGTTTAGTTCTTCTAAACGTACTGGTTATTTTTCCAAGTGATCATTTTTTCATTTTTTTCCCTAGCTTTCTTAGAAACTTATGTTGTACTTCCATGCATTTCCTCTATTACCTTAATTTTTATGGAAAAACAGTAGTTTTGATATCTGTCAAATTGTGACTATCTCATTCTGGAGGGACAAGTTTTCAGCAGATAGCTGGGTATGCCTGGCTATGCCTCTGTCTCTGTGTTTCCTGCCTTCTCAACCATCCTGTGCTTAGTTTTCCTCCTTCATGGAGGGTCTGACCCATTCTTTCCTTTCTCCCAGTACTTCTTTCCATTCCCCCAATCTCACTGCACTCCAAATTTCCTTAGAGGTTCTCAGATCCTCTGAAGTCATCTGATCTCACAGTTGGAGTCCTCAGAAACTTCAGTATCCCTACATTTCCCAGACACTGTATCCCTTTTCTCTTCTAGCACATGATTTCCAAATGCTCTTAACACTCAATCAACTTGCGAATGTCTGTCAACTCCACAGTCCCACAGGTGCTGGGGCCCTTTATACCCCATCTCTGCAGGTTGTTTCATATCCAAAAGAGCCCACCTCTCTTTCCTTGTATTTCAGCTGTATCAAACACTTAAACAAATATTCTATTGTTTTTTAGGCCGTAAACTCTCATCCCTCTTCTTCCTCTGTAATTTCTCCACCATATAAACATTCCTCTTTCTCGCTCTTAAATACATGGAACTACCGACTTCTGTGCTGCTTACTCCTGCAGAACAAACCACTCTAATACTCCAACTTATCCACAAAATGTTTTCTCTTCTTCTGCACTTTCCTTTCCCCTTCAGGCACTTGTATTTCTACTTCTCTGCCTTCTTCCTGCACAACAGGTGCTCCCAGTCCAAAAAGACACAACTCGCTCTTCTTCAGTGTCCTGTGACCTTCAGGTGCTCTTTGTGTGTTTTCCATGTGCTCCAAATAACTGTGCTATGCCTCTACTGCGCATTTACATCCCCTCAGCTTTCTCCTCTGGTACAAATCCACCCCAGCTCAGACCTTTAATTTGTCTTTTGCTGACCTGCAGATCCCTCTAAATGTGCACTTTCTTCCCTTTTCTCTGCTTTTTCACATTCTTGGTGAAACACTCCCATTTTCTGCACTCTCACTCCAGCACTGCTGGACTCGCCTCTTGTTTTCAGCCAGACCAAGCTCACTATACATCTGTTGAGCTGATAATTTGTGGTCTTGTCAGCCTACAAAAAGTGTAGGGATATTCCTGGGAGGATCACCTGATTTCTCTCAAGATGGCAATTTTTGCACTGATTCTCAGGAAAGGGAGGGCTAATCTACTGACCAACCTGTATAACATCTTCTTCATGTTTGTATAGGCTTTTAAATCTGGATTTACAGCTATCCAGAATGGTGCCATTACTTTGAGTTCATCAGTCAAAGCTCTTGCTTTCTTTTTTTTTCTCCTTATTTTAACACTTCTACAGAAGTGAGAGAATATGATGCCAACTTCTCCCACGGAATACTTCACCACCTTCTGCAGCTATATTTCTTTATGATGAAGAGAACTTAGTTTATGCCTCTGATTAATCTTTTTTAATCACCCACTGTGATCACTGTGTGTGATGCAGCGGGTCTTATCAATTTTATGGTTATTAGAAGGTACCATGTGATGTGAAGAATCGTGTCTTACTCTTTGGATATTCAGGAAAGATCATGCTCACCATATGAATCATCATACATTTATGATATACAGAGACTGTTTTAGGTGTTACACCTGCTCTTTCTCCTTTACTTCTCTATCTGCCATTCTTGTTTTAATTGTGACCAAAGTTACTTTTAGGAACTAAACCTAGCTTTTAGCTCTGCTTCTTGGGCAGTGTTTTTACAGAATATGAAAGTCCCTTCATCAAGGCAACTTAGAGATTTCATTCTTTAATTCCCCCTTTTTCTTCATTTAAAATTACCCACAAACACAGAAAATGGACTTTTTTCATGTTTGCAGATGCCCTGATTTTTTCCAGGGGCAGCCTCCAAAGAGGAATACATGTTCCCATACCTCTAAGTGCCTGTTGCAGGACTCTCCCTCCTGCTGGGCTGCCACCCTTGCTGAAGGACACCCCCTGAATTGTTTGCTTCTATTCCCAGCAGAAAGACATCATCATTTTCAAACCAGGGTCATCAGCTGAGCACTGGGATAAAATTTGAAAAACCATGAATATCTGTGCGATAAAGAATGTAGAGTTTGTGTATGTGAAGAAGAATAAAATCACTCTCTGCTGGGAACTGAAAAGTGTGTTTATGTAATTGAGGCAAGAGCAATACAATCAGCATGTGTTTAGCATCTCAAAGGGAAAAATTAGGCAACAGTTTATAGACTGCAGTAAACCCCTCCAACTTCCCAAGGGCAGTGTATCTACCTTAATTTTTAAAATAACTTAAGTTTTTCTTTTGTTATGATTAACTAGTTTTTAAATTCAAAAGCTGCTCTTTGCAATGTGATTGGGTGCATGGTACCACAGGTCTTTGCCTAAACTATATGCTTAAATTCTGGTATCTGTGTTTGTGTCTTGTGAAGTGGATAATCCTGTTTGTTAAGGACATCACCCTTGCTCTCTTGATACCCCATAAAGTGCTGTGTGAACACCATTGCATCAGAAGTCTGAATATTTGTAAGAAAAGAGTATGGCAAGCTTACTGCAAGAAATAAGATGTGTTCTCTTATGCAAAGATCCTCAAATTAGTTTCCGAAAGGAGGACCATCTTTGCCTATGTGGTCCGATCGAATAGGATAAGGCTTTAACTGGACGGATTTTTGACTAAAGCCTGCAAAACTTCTCCTGTGCTTCACTTAGGAAGAAGAGCCTCAGCAGAGTCTCTGTGGGTGGACCAGATAAGGGTCGGGTCAAGCAGAACAGGCACTGCAGGACCTGTGCTCTTCTGATTTTTGTGGGATCCCATGGTAGCAGAGGTACTGTTTGGGATTTTTTGAGGGTGTGCGTAATCCTGCCAAACTCTGTTTCCCTCATGAAAGCAGGGAGGGCCAAGCAGGTGTAGAGATCAATTTGTCCTAGACCTGTTGGCAAACATTTAAATTGCCGGATGTACACGTGTATGGTGCATCACAAGGAAGGGAGGCTATACACCCCTATAGATCTACAAGTGCAACACAGGCAGCTTGAAAAGGGAAACCTGGCTCTGCCAGAGGTGTTTTGTCCCAGACCTGGGAGTGGCAGCAAGCATCAACCACCTCTCCAGGGAATTGTGCATAGTAATGGTTGAGATTATGCCTGTGGCTGTTGTCTCAAGTAGCCTTTTCTCTGAGGGAGAAGGGGGTGAGTGGCACAGTCTTGGGATCACAGTCAGATATTAGCAACAAGGAAAGAGCAACCAGTTTCCAACCTTAGGGAGACCTTAACAAAGCTCCGCATGTTGAGAGATTAGTACCCCAGCTGAGGCTCCATTCCTGTCCCTTGTCATACCACAGAGGAGGCCAGTCACACCTGCCAAACCTCTTTAATTAACGACAGACCAGAACGGTGGCAGCATCCTTGTTGCGGGGAAAAGCAAGCGTGCACGCATGTGTAGGTGTGCACATGCACAGAGTGTAAGGAAATCAAGGGGACATCTCCCCCATACATAGACTAGATCAACTCTCATCCCTGGTGATCCCCAGAGCAATAGTATTTTATGAGACTGAGTAATTCACCTACTGTAGTGAAAGCAATGAACCCAGGCCAACCACAGAGCAGTCCTCTGCTATGATTCAGGTGCAGCACCCAAGAAGGAAGGAAACACAGGTCCCACAGCAAAGTGTGCAGCCTTTGCTCCAATTGCCACCCATCTGAACGGTGGAATAAGCTGCTGCCTCAGTCGTGTCCCACCTCACCATCCCTGCTTGGCCCATGTGGTTCCAGGCTGTTATAGGATGGCAGAGTGGTCACTACAGCCTCAACAGTGAAGCGATGTGGAGCACTGAGACCTGGTGTCTCATCCTGGAAAGCAGTGTTATCATGACTGTTTGGAGAGGGTCCCGGTGGAGAGAGTTTCTGCCGGGAACGGAACCAGCGGAAGGCCAAGATAAAGGTGATGGCAATGAAATCCAGAATCAGCTCTGCAAGTTCTATCACAGAAAGGACAGAGGATCCGAACCAGAGACTCCACTGGTTCCCAAGCTGGGACAGAAGAGTCACTACCTGCAAGAGATGGAGAAAGAGCAGTGAGGACAGCCCTCATTCAAGACTTTTGCCTCCCTGCCTTTTCCCACTAGCAGTGCCCCTGTGGTGCTGGGAGGTTCCTCTCACCCTGCCACAGGAAAAGAGACTGAATAGCCAGCAATGCTGCTGGAACAAACACGTGGCATCGTGGGGGAATGGGTGGCTAGAGAAGACATGGTAATAAAGTATGTACCGTGAAGGCTGGAGACTCCCCATTGGTCTTGTAGTTCCACTCCTTAAAAAAGATATTCACTTTGGCAACTCCGTTCCTGTAAATGAAAGATGAGGCTCAGTAACCCCAACTCCTCAATCCCTGCATTTCTTCACCTCATTCACCAAGTGTAATTTTCTTCTCTGTCTCCTTTTGCCCCCATCCTTCTCCCACACATACCACCCAGAGGCCTTTTCCCATCTCTGCAGTTCCCTCATTCTGCACTGAATGTAATCTTTGGTACTTACAGCACACTTCTGAGACTGCACTGTGAAACCCAGTGTTGGTGGCAAAAGCTTCTGCCCAGCTCTCCTTCCCACTGTTCCATGAGCACGTTCTGTGATTCCAGACTACATGGCAGGTGCCTGGGGCTTACTGTTTTCATACCAGCATCTGACCCCTTTCAAATTTTTCACTTGGATCCCCAATCCTTGTTGAAATCTCAGAATATAGCTACTTGGACTCAAATCCACTGGCCTTGTCCACAGGTTCCATGCCTGATCTCTTCCCATCATTGATTTATTCTTAACTCTGACATTCCTAACACACACACTCCACTGGGATGGTTTCTGGTGTGGACACAATCTCTGTTTAGGGGCTCTCACCTCTTGGATGTGATGTTGTATTTGTTCTGTTGTGAAAGCACGTAAAAAACCCAGTCCTGAAATGAAAGTGCAATAAATTGTGTTACATGATCACAGTCACATCCTGTAGGTTTAGTACCCGTTGAGGAAGGACTAAACGGGAGGCGAGAGCAGTGCTGAGGAGCCAGGACACCATCTCCTTACCTCTGAGACAGCAGAAGGCCAGCGGGAGTATCCAGCTGACAGCTGGTATTCTGTCATTCTGGAAGACAAGAGATTGTGTTAGCTGTTGAAGCTGTAGGAGCCACAAGGCCAGGTCTTGCCATTTCCAGGCACACCTGGAGATTCCCTCCCATGCTGAAGTTCTGCTCACTTCCCACTGTGCAGAATGCACAATCCTTGGGAGCTCACCCCTAAGCTGACCCTGACGTTCCTTGGTCATTTTGGCATCGTGATGGGAGATATACCATTTTGGGTGGCAGCTTAGTTATTGACTCAAGCTTTTTCCCTGGCCAGCGAATGCTTTCCAACACTTCTAGAAATAAAAAGTTTTCAGTCTTCCTGACTGATGATCAAACTTACTTGCAAGGTTTCCGACATTTGTGGAAACAGCCCAGCACATCAGCTTTGAATTCAGCCAGGAGTTTGTAATAGCAGTAGCCTGAACAGCAGAGAAAGTAAATCCAGGTAAGCTCACAGTATCTTTATATAAAAGGTGATATGTGACAGTAAGGGGAATCTAGAGAAGGTTTCTTTCCACAGGCTCCAAGGGACTGACAATCTAAGAGAAGAGTGTCTTTTGGGTGCTCCCCCCAGGCAGCTCATTGAAGACAGTAAGATGTACTGGGACATGGGGTGCACCCAACAGGTTCAGATGGGCACAAGCTTTACTGTTCCTCCTGTCCACTTACCCCAAGATACGTGCTTTGTATAGTCACAGTACTCTGCTCCTTCAGGTAAGGGGTAGAAGTAATAGGCACAGCCACAGCGCTCAACCATGTTCAGCTGAAAGCAGGAGCGAATGCAGACCTGGGAGGCACATGAGGTGGAAAAGGCTCAGCAAGGAAACCAAACCCACTGCAACCTGTATCACATCATACTATTAACAGAGCCCATGGACAAGCATGGCCCTTAGGGAACTAAAATATTTCAGGAAAGTAGGAAAACAAGCCATCACAGGACTGGAGACAGTTACCTGTTCAGTGTAGCGGGATGAGTACAGATTTTGCACTGGCACGTCACTGCCATCCTCTGTGCAGTCACTGTAACTGCCCCCAAGACGCACAGTCATCTCCTGGAATAGCAAACTGTCATTGCGTAGAACAACTGGCACTTTGCTGTCCTCTTCCTAAGCTTCCGTGCCACGCACTGCTCAGCTATCAGTATCTACTCTTTATGCTTTTCTCAGGATGCCTCCGTTTCTTTGTTCACTGATAAAGCGCAGCCAAATGCTTCTTGTCCATTAAGTTGCCCTTCCTCTCCCTCCACTCCATGTGATTAATCCCCTCCCTTAAACACACATTGGGTCTATGACAACCCATCTGTATCTATTCACCAGTTAAACCTCCCCATAACCTCACATCCACAGCTCTTACCCCTGCTGCTTCCTTACTTTTCTCATGCTGATGGAGGTCTCGATACCAGGACGCACGTTGAAACCCCCATCATCCATGAAGGCTGGCTCATTCTGATCATGGACCATGACCCTGGCTCCTGTCACCGTGGACAACAGAGGGATGAAGTCATTCTGTTCGGTGCGCACCACCAGAGAGAGACCTGAGGAAATGTCAGAGAGCAAGGGAGGTCATGCCTGGCTGTGGTGCGGGAGAGCTGGGAGAGCACAGTGGTTAGAAGTGAATCTGTGAGAGATAAAGGAAGAGATAGACATCAAACAGGGTGGCACCGAAGCTTGGTAGCAATAGAGGGTGGCTGGAGGGAAGCCAGAGGCAAAGCTGGAGGCTCCAGAAGAGGCCAGAGAAAGCTGAATTTCATCACTGTAGCTTAGGAAAAGCAGAACTGGGAATTGAGAGAGATTTCATGGAGAGACTTGGAGTTGGATGGAAGAAAAGCCTGAAGATTTGGCCTCAAGAGGTTTCATGGAGTTTAGGAACACAAGCAGGTCAGCTGCTGGAAAGAGGGAAACAGAGAAGGAGGAGGTGAAGACCAGGCTCTCAGGAGCGCAGCACTGTGGCTCAACATTTCAGGAAGGGCCAGCACAAATCCAGAGAGAGCAATATAAGGATCAGACACTGATGGGGGAGAGAGAGTTCAGTGGGCAGCAGTGAGGGACAGCCATGTCCTCAAGACAGCTGTCCCCACATGGGCAAAAACAGCTTAGGCGAGACAGAGCAGGGCTGTAATCTGCCAGTACCAGTATTAAGCACAGCAGGATGCCCATAACTCCTAAGGAAAGCAGAGATAAGTGATACTCCTTACTCACCAAAGAGTGCCTCTCACCCACCATTATTGATCCCAGGCATCGAGGATGTCCATAGGCTGCTGCTGTTGTCATTAAAGGTATAGCAGTTCCCATACAAGGGATGGTGGAAGTGGGTATAATTCCTGAGAGGGGAACAGAAACATTCACACGGTGTGAGAAGGACTGCAAGACCAAGAGGAAGGGCTTTATAAAAGAAACAACTCTGTTTTCTATCAGCAGGGAGAGGGGCTTACAGCTGATGGGCAGTATTTGTTGTGTAAACTCACCTGAACAGGGAAAAGCAATTAAAATGTACCGTAAAAAATGTTCTGGAGCTGGACAGGTTTTTACACCACGTTTTTCATACTGCTCTCGAGGGCCCAAATTGGTTTTAGCTGTACTAGCAAAGATTGTATTATCTTCCTAATACTGAAGAATAGCTCTTTCAACCCCTTTTTCTCCCTTGCTGATGGATGTCATTCCACTACCTCTACTGCATCTTTTTTGACCAATAATAGCAGGACAAAAGTAGAATATTTTTTTACTGTCTTTTTGTATCAACTCTCTCCTCTCCTCTTCCTGTATGTGGGCTGATATGTACCACTGTTACTACTGTAGCTAGTAAAATAAAAATACTTTTACACTGTACATTGGCACCCACTCTGGCGTTTGTACCAGTGGGTAACTGGTTCATTTGTGTGAAACCCAGGAAAAGGTAAAACCGTCCTTTGAGGTTCATAGTTTCAGATCACAGAAACTGTGGCCCTGATACACACAACCCACAGAAGAGACTCAAGAAAGATCATTTGAGACAATGGGAAGTGAAAAAGGAACGAACCCACCTTGGAAAAGAGTTTCTTTAATGTGGGTTCCTTGATTCCCCTCAAACCCAGGCACAAAACAGAGTGTTTTCAGGAAGACTCTGTGGGATGTTTCCACTACTTACGCCTTGTCACATGTTGCGTCATTGAAGCGGCAAGCATAGATGAAATTCTCGAAGTCAGACTCATCCAGGGCTTTTGCATCAGGCACCTGTGCCAGGATATTGATATAGTGAAAGCTGTACCATTCCCGCACGGCATCCACTCCTGAGGAGTATGCCTGATGGAAACAGTCCTTGTTGTTTTCACTGCACTGTTGAGAAGGAAAAAACCAGCCATGTCAGAGAAGTCTTGTCCAGGAGGTGAGGCTGTGTCTGTGGAAGAGCTGTTCTCCCTCAGCACAGGCAAGAGATGACTGAGGGAGTGAAAAAGCTCCACTGGACTCCTGCACTTGACCAAAAGGTCATCAGCAGGATGTGAAAGAGCAAACCCAGGGCAGTTCATTGGTGGAAGGGAAACACTGGATGAATAAGCAAGGCTGAGTAAAGCCCAGGAAGCAGAAAGTCGCAGTGAGGTGTGCAAGATGATCTGCCCATAAATTCTGCCTGGTATAAAACCAGGAGCTTTAAATTCTTGAGTGGGGAGCCCTTCCCTCAGGGTGTGTCCAGAAAAACTTTTGTGATCCTGTGGGAACTCCAGTTAACTGGCAAGTGATTAGCTTCAGTCCTTCAGTGTCTTTTTAAATGCAAACACAGATACCCTAGGGCGAGGAAGCTGCTACCTAGGAGCAAATGCGACCATGATTGCATTTCAAGTGACCCAGGACCATCAAATACTTTACCCCTTTGAATTATTGGGCAATGCTGATAAACTGCTCTCCAAAGGCAACTGCAAGGCTGATGTAGCCTTCAGGAAGGACAAAGTTTCCCTGCTGTACCTAGGAAAAGATGGACAGTAACATGGACAAGTCTCCTTGGGGCCTGCGTGGACAGGGACAGGTCTTGTGGAGCAGGATTGCATTGGGTGAAGGATTCAGCTCTACTTCTATCTGTCATTAACAAAAGCCAGTGCAGATTAATCAGACTTCTACATAGGGTGGGCAAGGGTCTAACAAGATAGAAGTAGCTAGGCAGAGACTGGAGTGGGTAGGGCACAGGATACCTAGGGATCTCACCAGAACAAAGCCAATTTTCCAGTCATTCTTGTCCACTGAGGGACTGTTTTCTGGCAAGTTGACTAAGTTATCCCTCTTCTGCCTCCGTAAAGGGTGGCGCTGGACATGATGGAGCAGGCTCCTTGAGCTACGCTTTTGTGTAGACAGGGTGGACCAGTCACTTCGTGGCAGAGACATGTTGTAGTCATAAAGGTCTAGCAGTGTCTGATGGGTGATTTGGTCCAGCTCATCCAGCTTCTTTCGGATGGCGCTGTATCTACACAGAGGGGAGAGAGGACTTGCAGGTTTAGGGCTGGATGCACATAAACAGCTCTGAATTAGACATGCAGCAAAGTTTGCTGGGGTGATTCTGGACATTCCTGCCACCAGCTGTAAATCTCACCCTTTGCTGGAGGCTATCGTCCTTGTAGGAGTGAAGTAAATCTGCTTTAGCCCCGTGGCAGTTTATATTGCAGGCTGCTAACATACACCACCAAGTAGAGCTGCCTAAACTAACATGCCTTACTGTGAATGCCCTGCAGCAGCAAAGGCCTGTGAAAGGTGTTCTTTCCACAGGCACCACTACAGAAATGGCCCTTCAAGGACCATGAGGAGAGAAAAGAGTACATGCTTTTATCCTACACCTGTTAAAGTCAAGGCAGTCAACAGCTCTGGAAGTCTATTTCTTACCTGTATGGATTGAGGGTGCACAGTGTCACGGCTGGGAAAGTCAGCCTGTCAGAGTTCAGGTTGAGGTTGAGGTTGACAGGGTAGCTGAAGTACTCCCTGTAGAGGATCCCAAACTGCCAGTACATTAAGCCGAAGGTGAGAAAGAAGAGAACAGACCAGAATGCTGTCTTCATCTTATTCTTTTTGGAGCACACCAGGCGAATAGCCCCATGGATGGTTGTGTTGCTGCAGAAGAACTGGAATAGCTCTTGGTAGGAACTGTAGAATTCGATGAGACCCTCCCGCTCCTCTTCTTTCTGCGGCTGCTCCTCTTCTTGCTTACATTGTCTCGTTTTCTCCCCTTCTGGCATCTTCCCTGCCTTCACAGACCCACCCTGCAGCACAAACTCAGAATTAGGGGGTCGCCCTGTAAGACCGTGGCTCCGGCTGGTTCTGCATCACCATCTTCCCCAAACCTCCGTGCTTTCACCCCCTCTTCCCTGACCCCCATCCCAGGCTGTAGGTCCCCCTCCCATATGTGACACGGGGTAGATCCTCCCCCACCGAGCAGCCCCCGCGTCCCTCCCGCGGCTGCGCCCCCCGCCCGCCCCGCCGGGGCCGCGGCACTGACGCGGGACGCGGTGCCCATGGCAGGCGGCGGCTGCTCGGCCCGGGGCCGGGACTGGGGCCGGGGCCGATATGCTCTCCCTGAGCGCTGCCGGCTCTCCCGCAGCCTCCCCGGCTGGGCTGGGACCGGTTCCTTTCCAGTTGGAGCCAGCACCCCGCCCGGCTCCTGCCCTGCCAGCCTCTCCCCGCCCTCCTGCCTGTCCCTCCTGCCTGTCCCTCCTGCCTGCCCCCTCCTGCCCCTTCCCCTGGGCGCCGCTCCCGGGGAAGAAAAGCCTCTTGAAACTCTCAAGTGTCGGCGGCCGGGGGACCGGGGACACGTCTGGGCAGTGACCTTGGCGGTGCCGGCGGGGGTCAAGGCGCGGCCGCCGCGCTGCGGGCGGGCAGCGGGGCCCCCCCAGTGTCCCCCGAGGGGAGACCAGCCCCGACCAGGTACGGTTGCCGAGCAGCCCGAACCTCCTCCTCCTCCTCCCACCCCCTCCGGCGGGGACGCGGCGTCCCAGCGAGCTGAGGCGATGCAGAAAGAAAGTTGGCAGCGCCGGTCTCCGGGGCAGCCGCAGGCAGTGCCAGCCAGGCGGGAACCCCCCCACGTCCCCCGCAGGAGCGGCGGGACTCGACCGGCGGTGAGAGCTCCTGCGTGGCTTTCATGGCCAAATTGTGCTTTCCAAGGGCAAAGCCGAGAGTTTTGAGTGAGATCTGCAAAGGGGATGGGGCTGGGACAGAGAAGGCTAGGGGCGACTCGGTGATACACGAGTTACCGCATCGCCTTTGCTGGTTCCTTAACTAAAGCAATCTTTCGTATCCAGAACTACTCGGCCCAGCCATGAGGGGAAACTTGTTTTGCTGATCTATGCCTGGGAAATCAAGGCCTCCCGGCATTACCCAAAGCCTCCCTCGGTCCATGGAAATGAACACCCATAGCCAAATGTGACCAAAAGTCTCTAACAGCCCCCTATCATTATAACCATGAAAGGTTTTTACCGATCTTTTCTCCCAGTGATTTTCTTTCAAACTAGCTCTCTCTGAAGTTTTCACTTATTTCTTTCCTTTCTGGATACCTCCTCCAGAAAAGTCCGTGTTCAGAGTGTTCTCTCACTGAATTTCGATCCTCATTGGAGTTTGCTGTGGTTTGGTTAGTGACTCAAAATACGCAGCCACTTTCACCTCTTCGTGTTGCAAAATACCATGCTTGAAAAGGGCAAGCCATACACTTTTGAGGCCAACAGTTAAGTGACAGTGTGCCAGGAGCAGCCTTGTGATAGGTGCTTGTTAGAATCTTACAGCCACAACTCGGAGCTTTCCGCTAGCTCCATTCTCTGACAAAAAAACAATGCAAAGCAAAAGCATTGTTTCTCCTGCAGTTCAAAACTTAGTTTTAACTCCAGTAACTCGTTTTTGAACTTTCATCAAAGATGAAAGTTGCAAAAAGTGGGAGGGTGAGGGGAATGAGCTGATACTGTATCAAATGCCTATTACAAAGCAGCTTCCTCAGAGCATTACGACATCCAGCTCTGAGGCCACCTACGTAGGAAGAATGTGGTCCTATTGGAATGAGTCCTGAGGAGGCCACGAAGATGATCAGAGGGCTGGAGTACCTCTCCTATGAAGGCAGGCTGAGAGGAGAGAGGTGGGGTTGTTCAACTTGGAGAAGTAAAGGTTGCAGGGAGATCTTATTGCAGTACCCACTTCTAGAACCTAAAGTGGGTACAAGAGAGCTGGGGAGGGACTTTTTATAAGGACATGTAGTGATAGGACATGAGGGAATGGCTTCAAACTGAAAGAAGGTAGGTTTAGATTATATATTAGGAAGAAATTCTTCACTGTGAGAGTGGTGAGGCACTGGAAGACATTGCCTGGAGAAACTGAGGATGGCCCATCCCCAGAAGTGTTCAAGGCCAGGTTGGATGGGGCTTAGAGCCACCTGGTCTAGTGGACAGTGTCCCTGCCCATGGCAGGAGGTTTGGAACCAGATGATCTTTAAGGTTCCTTCCAACCCAAACCATTCTACGATTTTATGATTACAAGTGTCCTTCTGGGTTGGACTGATGGTCCATGCAGCTCTGTATTCCATCAGTGCCTGTGGGAGATGTCATTTAGTGGAGGGATGTGAGCTCCTCTGACTTGTGCCACTTGTGTGTTTATGCATTCAGACAGACCTGGATACTAACAATTATGCAGCATCGGTGCTTGCAATTACCATTGTAACCTATAGAGCTATAATCCAGTCACTTCACAGAGAGCAACTTGTTTGATTTACATTATCATAATTTCCTGAAATTACTCGAACAGACTAATCCTCGAAAACTGCCTCTCTCTTACTGGAATTGTGACTCTATCTTATCGGAATGACAAAAATTTTTTTGCCCCTGAAAATGCCCCTT